CCTGCGAAGATTAGGCAAATTAACCAGCTGACGTATTTAGTAACCACTATCCATGAGCAAAATTTATAAATGAACATCAGATTTAAGTGGAACTGACTAAAGTACCTTAGTACCCTAAAAAAGACCCTAGAACATATTTTAGACACTGATTCCTTCGGTGGAAATGCAGTGAGTTCCTGCAGATGTTCCTAGTTCCGGGGCATAGTTCCTTTGGTCTAAATGCAGCTTATGATTAATTCTTTGTGTAACTCTCTGCTCGAAAGGGAATGAATGTATTTCCCCAAAATCTCAAACTATTCATTCAAGTAGAGTTGGCAGTAGAGCTGGACAGAGAAAGAATATTATGTGTTCAGTGTGTGTTGTTGTTTGTTTGTTTGTTTGTTTGTTCAAGAACAAATGGACTTGGGGAGTCCCTCAGACGATTATGGCCCCAAACATACAGTGAAAGCTGCTCACCTGGTGCATATCCCAAAAACGTATATCTTCTCTGTTAGTTTTATATTTAAGTCTATGGCACATCCTGGCTGAGCTGGGCCAACCACCCACCCACATGGATAGGACAGAAACGATATCTTGAAACAACTCTTAGTAGTGTTTATATATCAGCTTCAGTTGTGTGTTATGCTCAGGGCATTTATTTTGTAATGTGTTTGTTCTTTTTGTAATAGATGAATGGCAGTACAGTAAGTATTTTTGGGCCCAGTGGTATTAAATGACCTGCAGTTTTGGCTTGTCACGATGAGCTAACTGACTGCATGTAAACCAACAACAACAGAAATCTGTGCACTGAAGCACACCTTAATCGAATAATCTGCTCAAATCTGATTTCCCTAAGAGATCTGGTAACACAGGGGTCGCCAACTAAGTTTGGCGTCCGGACAGTTTTTTTTTAAACCATTAGATGACGGGCCACAACACAACAATCAGAGTGCCCGGTTAGCTTAGTCCAAAGAGTGCAAGCCTCTCCTTTGGCAGGTTGTGTGGTCAGTACCCACACACAAATATATTTTCTCTCCCTCTTCAACAATTTAATTATGAAGAGACTGTTTCGCATGCTCACAATAAAGAATGTGCTGGAGTGTATGCGTTCCACATCCAGCAACTTATGGATGCATCCCCACGCAGAGGAAATTCCTTCGCATCTCATTCAGGGGAATCCAATTTCATGTTTTCTGACTGCTCAGAATTTTTAAATAAAGTAAAAACTCTTCATTCAACTCAAAGTAAAGCAAACAGTGTAGGGACAAATATATTAATATATATAGAAGGCCGGTCAAATATATATTAAAAAAAAGTATAAAAATAATGATTTTTGTTGGTATTTTTTATTACTGAAAGGAAAGCAGGTAGGAATTTAAGCCGTTCAGTGTGTCAGAGCTGAGCGCCTAATGGGCTGTTTAGCCTGATGTTTGCAATGCACTTTTCAGATTTTATCTTTCAAATGAGAGCAGAGGAAATACCCGACTAACAGAGTAGATCTGTATGCTGTAGCAGAAAACATAATTCTTGCTGCCTACTGCAGTGCACTCAGGGTCCAGGTTGAAATATACTGAAGTGTTTTTGTGACAGCTGACTCCACTGTAAATGAAATACTACACATTAATAATCACATCAGTGCTCAGATCAGTAAGTCACTATGTGTAGAATGTTGTTGTCCAGTCACATCAAATCTGATGATTAGATTTTTTTATGCTACAAACATTAAATAAGGGAAATCTACTAACACACTGTGCAGTGCAGAAATCATAAACAACAGTACTGCCAGCTTTCCTCCTGTGGTAAAACATCCTGTCAAAAGCTCATCACAGGATTGCAGCTCACAAGAAAGCAACTGCAGCAACTGGTAAGCCTATACTACCCTACGCTGAATTATGCATACTGACTCAGATAATGCATTACTCATGACCAGTGCTACATTATACAGGTAGCGGTCTCAAACTCTTAAGCACATTTGCTGGAGTGATTCAGTGCTTGGAGAAAGTAATGCTTCTATTACTGGGGTAATGCTTCCTCTGATGCCTGTTGACGGACCATAGAGCTCTTGCCAAGGTAAGGGCAATATGAGTAAATTGTAGGTTTTTAATTTTGTTTGGTACTTGATTACAGACAAATGTCATTATTTAGCTCAATATATATTTCTTCGTTTCTTTTCTAGGAAAAAACACCCGTTTCACCCCGGCTGACGACAGAGACTATCTGCTTTTCCCTTCAAGAATTGAATCTGGTGACATGGATGTAATGGCGTTGTGTAAAGAGCTGTGAATGAGAATTAAAAACATTGTACATTAAACAGCAACACTGTGCTCTAAAAATAAAAATTAACAATGAATGGTTTTTGAGTCTTTTATGTTATTTGGTTCAACCGGTAATGTGGAAACATTTCTTCCTAACCATCTTCATTATCATATTATCATCATCAGAGGGATGGGGGGTTGTTGCATAATTTCCATGTATTATGCACTGCACAGGCAGTAATTATTTACTTTGTGTGATCTGGGAAGAAACAATACATATAAGTATGCTTCGCAACACAATAATTGGGCTCCCAGCTGTTGTCCTCGGAATGGTGGAAGAAGCCATTGCCATAATTGTGGATGTCCACTGTTACCAAGGAGATGACCCTTGGGGTTTCTTTTAAACAGCTGTATTAAGGCCTGGTCACACTAGCATTTGAAACAGCGTTGTACGACGAAATCCATTCATTCCAATGTAATAGCCACGATTAGTGGACTCAATTGAAGGGATGAAGTAAATCTAAATATTCAGCTTGAGTCCAGCTTTGGTGAACTTTGAACTGCTGCTGACCATCAGCAAGCCATCTTGATAGTGCTGACCTACGAGGGGACATAAAGCGATAGTCCAAAATGGACATAGATATAAGCTTATTAGCACATATACTTTTATTTAGCCCTCAGCATTTGGAGCATAACAGTCTCCAGCTGAGTGTTAGGAGACAAATGTTACATATAAGCCTTTGGAATAAACTGTGTGAACTTATTGTCCTGTCTGCGACTGAGCTAACGCGTTTGCTAACTATGCTCAGTAGAGTTTTTCCCCCCTCCTTACACGTTTCATTGAAATGATGTACAGCCCTGAGAACAAAATACAAGGAGGGATGAGCTTGGATTACTATTGTGACTGAAGCCTATTTCACTGAGGATCTGAGAGCTGTGGGTAAATTCAGGTCATCTAGCTACCACCAAATGTAATGTTCTGCATAAAATACCACTTTTGTGTTGATGCTGGGATCGATTTTGAGGTTTACCAAAGCTCATTCACTCCCACTTGACGTTTTGATACGCTGTGTTTGATACGCTCTGTAACTCCGTAATTACACAAGGGGGCAGTTTGAAATTTACAGCAAACAAAGAGGGACAAAAAAGAGGGAAAACACAATCAAAACAAATCTGAACAATAATAATTTTACTGATCCTGCAGAAGCCACAGACAGACTTGTGGGATATAGAATGCCAGCTACCAAGGAGACCATTGAAACACTGGATATTCGGGTCAAGAGAAGATAAAGAAAATCGGACATGGGGATCTTCCCATTGGCTTATTGTGAGACGTCCTAAATGTTGAATTGGTTGTTTTCCACTATGACCCACGTCTGTCTGATAGTGTCATTTTGTAGTCTGATCCCGACAATCCTGGTTGTTTGGTGCAGGGGTAGTGGGGTGAAGCTTGGTAGTACTACCAGTTAAAAGTTAAAAGAAAGGTCAAATCCGGCACATAATGACTTTCATTTTAAGCCTCAAATTTAAATACATGCAAAAATATTTTTTCCATCATAGACTATTATAGATAGTGGACTATTTGTGCAGTGACAATAACGCATATGAAAGAGCATTACATACATCTATTACTATGTCAGGTTACTGAGGAGGTAATCACAGTTTATTGGACAGTATCCCTTTAAGTAATTGATTACATCTCTCATGAACCAGGCTTCTGCTAAAGCCCAAATGTTTCTCTAAAAACCATGCAAAATAAAGTTTCAAAGTTGTCGATGCCATTTATGTTTGTGCTTCCCACATTAATTTTATTTGAAGCTGCTGTGGCATTCAAATGGCATTTAACTTAAAGACGTGATATGTCAGTAAATTACATGCAGGGCATTTTAAAATCCATTTCTAATTCTTTAGGTAAGTTTATTAGACTTTATTTCAGCAGCAGGGACTCTCCAAACTCTGACCTATAACAGCCTGCTGCAGAATGTGACCCAGTATTGGTTGGCATGCCTCTCTCAACATAGTAGCTATTGATTTTTAGATGGTACATTAAGGCCAGTTTCACTGGGGTTTTAATATATAAATATTGACTGCATATTGTTATATCTGCACTAGGTTTCTTAAAATGGTTAGTTGTAGCACTTATAAGGGAAACTCTAAAAAAAAATATTTTGGTGGAGGGTCAGGTTAAGCCCACTGGTGTCTATTTGTTATCTCTAATTCAAGCATTCACAAACAAATAAATCTGTGAAAAAATGTGTTCACATAGATCTTATAGTGTATATGTAAATAATCAAATAAAACTTCCTACTCAATACTATTTGATACCCTAAAACTAATCCACATCTTGTAATACAGATATAATCCCCATATTGTAAATGAAAAATCATAGGATTGTCAATCATTGTAAGTCACAGTGCCACAAAGTTTTGAGGAAACAACATCTAATTGAGCAATTCATGGAAAACAAGGAGTTTCATGCTATTCAAGATTAAAATGAAATAAACTTCTGTTTTTGCACAAATCTATTTACAGTATGGGTCACCTCTCGGAGGAGACTCTTTCAGTACCAATTAATCTAAAGGTTGCCATTAACCATGACCTCTATCTTTAAAATGTCGGCCTATGGAGTCCAACCATTGTAGGTCAAGTATAGTGTTTCGCACAGTTGTATTATTTTGATGGCAACGAGCACAGAGTGATGATTGACAGATTTACCAACTAATCATTTTCTGGTGCCTGTGTGTCAATGGTTTGTTTCATGTATAGGCGGGGCTGCACGGGAAAAATGACATGGAGCCTGCTATCGCGCAACAGAGTGCTATGCTTATGTGTTTGCGTCAGCACGGAGCCTACTGGCATGAAGCACTGGAGCCAAGGATCTACCCAGGAGACATGAATGATTTTGGTGTCCATGTTCTCATCACTTGACCAACGGGATAATCTACTGAAGACATGGTGTGTTCCTTTGAGTTTTGTATTATTCAGGTGCTAAAGAGACCTGTTCTTTTCAGTGTGATGGTACTATCTGTTCTGTGTGGAGGTGGGGGTAGAACTGGCAGCATACTCCAAATAAATCAAATAAGGAATGTATGCCACATTAGACTTTGATCGCCAGTGTGTAATGGCTATAATACCAGTCAACCTGTCTTTGCGTGCTGAGTTTTGCTCTTTATGATAAATGAGCTAAACAATCTGGAGTTACAGTATATAATTCCTGTAATGCTACCTCTTGAGGTTTTCCTACAATTTGGTGGAGAATGCGGTCATTGCCAAAACTCAGTCATCAATCATACATTGAAGATTCTTAGCTCTTCTTTGTGGTCATTGTTGGTACCATTTTGTGCCAGGCGTGTAGTAGTAGGGGAGCTTTAGGTTACTGCAGTAGTCTCATCCAGCCCTCCTGCCACAAATATGCAACAAACCTTAATCTTACCTTTGTCAAAACAGCATGTGTAGCAAGTTATAACCACAAGCTTTAACTGATGGTAATCCCGACTGCTGTCATATGAGCAAAATGCAGAATGCTTAACTTTTCGTAGTGCTGATATATGAACAACTTTGTTGACACACTTGTTCCCCTTGACTTGTTGGTCAATTCATCAACAAAGTCATGTAGTGGAGTACGATTTTGTGTGTGCGCGTGTTCCAAAGTTTTCACTTCCATTGTCTTTCCACAACTCTAAAGCTCCCCCATCTGGCATGGTCATCAATAAATGACTAGACCCCAATCTGCAGTGACACTGGCATTTACTTGCTGTGGCGCATTTGATGGAAGTTCAGTCTTTGCAAATGTGCCAAATTCCATTTTGTATGGAGTACACTGCCAGCGGAAGAGAGCAAGGAAGCAGGAGCATGAGAGAGTGAATATGAGAAGAGTTAATCAATGAGTGAGTGAGAGAGAGCGAGAGACAGAAACACAAAAACAAAAACAGCATCGCTCTCATTGGCAGGACCGACTACCCAGCCGAGCCTGGCACCTCATCTCGTCAAAGCATGATGGAAAAATACCAGTGTCCACAGTGTGTACTTGTGTGTGTCTGCTTTGACCAGACAGTGTTTTCACTACAAATGCCCTTACAGCTCACATGGCCCATTGATAGATATTGGAACATGTCTAGCATTTCTGTGTTAGCTTCTACAAACCAACAACTCCCCTTCAGGACAGACACTCCCTTCCAGTCCCCTCTCTTACGGCATTAAAAGACAGTGCTTAAAGAAAAACAAACTAACTAACCGGTAATGAAATAGGGTTAATAGCGACAACAAAAGAAGAATGAACACAGAATGATGTCCCTGAGGTTGTGTTATACAAATGTGTCCACATTCTTTACAAAAGTTAAAGTTCCACCCATTTGACATGCAGAGATTGAGTTTATGTTGGGTAGAGATTTGGCTTTTAAGTGGTGTCATATCTCAGTGAAATAGATACATCAACTTCCATAGTGCGATTGTAGAGGAGTCCATAGACACCATGTTTATCCAAGAATAGCAAGTACAGATGAATCACTGTGAGGAGTGAAGCCTAGAAGATGTTCACCTGACACTTAAACCCTGCCTACACCAGACACGTTATAGCCAAAAGGCCAAGTTGTCCTTCTCATGCAAGTCTGACCGAACAGATGTTTCTGTTTTAATCAAAGCTGCTATGTGCGCTCGCTAAATAAGGCATGCACTTCTCACGTCACAACAGTAAGGGACAGTGGCAGCAGGTTCAGGTGGCTTGAAGGTGAGGACAAACAGTAGCCGCTTTCACAATGTGTTATTTTCTGCGAGTATTGCACCAATGTGCCGGCTCGCTTTGCTGTATGAAAGGTATGGAGCCGGGCAGGGGGTCCGATTTGACCGGCCTCTGAGCCAGGGACGTTGGTAGTAACAGAGACAGAACTATGTCTGTGTGAAAAGCTACAACCTGCATTCCGTTGTTGTCTTTTTCGCTGGAAAGCTGGATCATTATGTGAAAGCACACATGGTTGCGGGATTTTGCCGCAAACGTTGGTTTAATATGAATCAGCGAATGCGGCATATTGGTGGAAAATGGAAAGTGGAAACATGTGTAAAGATGGGTGGGGCAGTCAGGTTATATGGAAAAGAGGGAAGGTCCGAGGCAAATGGCATTGAAAGGGCCTGGTGAATTAGTCACAGTATGACTGTACACTCAGAAGCGTTTGTATTGTGCTAACCGCTCAATACACCATCAAAACCTGTTTATGTCCCAGGAAAACCTACATAAAGTGTAAAAAAATGCTAAGCCAAGTACAAGTGACAGATAACCAGTTCTGTGACAGGTATTGTATTAAATGTCTGTGAGACAGATGGCTGAAATGTGTTCAGTGTGGACAGGCTGTTAGACATACTTACTGATGATGCCATGGAACAGGCTCAGAGAGACCACTTCAAGGGCCTGCCTGTTCTGTTTTAGAGTGTTATCAGCATTGCAGCAGCACTCTTATCTTGCTCCTGTAGCATTTAGCAGCCACAGTTAATATCAATATTATTATCTTATCAGCATGACCTTTAGAGGTGACTCATGTATTCACAAAGAGTTAAGCTGCGTTTGTTTGTGTTGGGAGTTTCCCTACTGCCACTTGCTCGGGAAAAATAAATAGGCGTGAAAGGTCCTGAATTATATTCTCAGGAGGCTTTTACAGCAAGTCAAGGACAGTCCTCAGAATGTCCTCAGGAGGCTTTTATGCTTTGTTTATGCTTGCACACCGTGGCGCAGGCCTCCGCAGATGGCTTGTGAGCTCTGAGCATGCTCAGAGGCGTTTATTCTCAACATGCTAACAGTATTCTCGCCAGGGAGCGTACAAACAAAACATTCTGTAAAGAAGCAAGAAGTTAGTGAGTGTTACCAGAAGAATCGCATAGACCAAACATGGCTGCACACTCCGGAATGCAGAGGAAGAATTGTTATTTATTGTAAACGCATATCTATTCATGGCCATTTTACAATCCATGTAAAGAAAGTATTTGGAACACCAAATGTATTCTAATGAAATAAAGACTGATCCTGCTGGCAAAATTTTATTTACTCAAATGTAGGATTTTAAGATCTATATGAATAAAAACAAATAGGCCGGCTTTTTTAAAAATCATTAGACATATTAATAGTAAAAATGTGTCTAATACTTTAGCTTTTCTCAGTATTTGTGGCAGTCATCTTCTCAGTTGTGTTGTAACTCATGTCATGTTCTACTTCTTGTTTGAACTTTGTATTCAACAAAGGGAACTCGATGCCTTGCGGAGGTGCGATGGCGTCACTTTTGGCACCTTTGCGCTGGGAACACTGCGTTGAGCATAAACAGAGCTTCAAAGCGAGGCATGGACAGTCCTCGGTTACATTCTCAGGAGCACGTTGACCAGGCCGGCCATATACTAGGGTCTCAACATAGTCATGTACTGTACTTTGGGGAGAACACTGTACAGCACAGATATTCCTCTACACAATTTCTTCAACTTGGTCACGCCACTGTATTGAGTCATAGTCGTCTATGAACCTTGGGTCCTACTGTGCATCCGTGCTTCTTTAGAGACATGGTATCCTTGAGTCCAGCCTTCTATCGCTCTGGCAGGATTTTCCAATGTCAGTCACCTCTTTTGTCTGCCAGCGAAAGGCATCATGTGGATGTACTTTAGGTGGTTTGTATTTGGCTTACACTGGCCTTGATTGACCCAGCCCTCCTCTTTTCTGGGGTTGCACAGTCTTGGAGTGGGGGTAGGGGTAATGTGAATCTCCCTCGCGTTATTCCCTCTCGGTGAAAAAATTGGTAGAAGCTACTGGAGGCGATAGCTCATGGGGAGCACCCTCCACATTGACTGCTGTGCACAGGCAATCCAGCATGTGTTGTTGTTTTTTTTTGCTGAGTATAAACTTTTTTTTGAATGCGTGTTAGCCTACATGTTATCTTTTGGCTACATAAAATACAAAATCACATTAACAAATGTTTTTAATATTCAGTGAATATAAAAAAATGATTGAGATTTCATGCCCAGCCCACCTACTCGTTATTGTATGTTATCATATACTTACCATATTTTGTTGTATCTATCATATTGTATCACTTGTCTTTTGTATGTTTTCTTCTGTTACATTGCATGCTTTATTTTTGCACAAGCTTGTTTTATTTTTTTTGATCACACTGTACTGGATCCTATGTTAATGCAATGTATCCCAACATAATTAAATGAAAAAGTCTTCATAAAAGCAAGCTTCTGTTCTTGTTTTCCTTAGTACATAGACCTAACACCTGTACGCTTTGAGGGTCAGTGTTTTGGATCAATATCAGTTAGGTTTTGTTAGCGCCCACAACATTTAAATGTGTTCACTGCCACAACAATTTTTGTGTACCCACTCCAATAACCTTATCTGGATGAATCAGCATATTGGGCTTTAAAGGCAGAACTGTTTCAACACAAAAATCTCATTAGCTTTCTCCATTTCACCTTGTCTATTTCATTCTGTGAATTTTCTTGCCAGGTTCTGTACAAATAGCAGTGTTTGGAATGTGGAGCAGATCAGAGGGTATTAGAGTACGGATTAGGGAGCTGAGGGTATGGATTTACAAGATTTATGGGAAAAGACGTAGGCATCAAGATAGGTGCCAAGGTTCCACTCCCCGTCTCTGTTGTCATTTATCTGTTTGTCCCATCTTTTTGTCCGTTTCTGCCTCCCATTCTCTTCAACCTCATCTGTGGTTTGTTCTTGTTTGTTGTTTCAATGCTTTCTCTGGTCCAGTCTCCACCTTCACCTGTATATGTCTCCGTTATTCCTTAATCTAATTCAGCCATCTGGGACTTCTCTCTCCCGGCAGTCATCTGTGTTTGGTTCCTTTGGTCAGTACTTTCTGCTGATGCAGAGTGTGGCTGTCAGTAGTTAAGCTTATAGTGATGATTTGTCCCCTGCTGTGTTTTTCTATTCCTGCTGGTTATTCGTTCTTGTACTAATCTCATCCCTTTCATTCCTACATTGGCTATTACAAAGGTTTTAACCAAAACCTGGGAAGGTCCAATTACAATTGGCAGTGTTTTACAATGTGATAAAACACTTTTTGAATTGGGTGCCCCTAGTCTGTACTTTGTAAATTGTGAAAAAAGGCATATCTTCTAAATGTGTGAAATATCTAATATCTAATATTATAGTCTATTATTACTGGCTGTCAAATATAGATTCCTCCCAAACTCTCATCCACTCCCAAGGCTTGGTCCTGTCTCTGTATTCAGGCAACTCAGTATTCTCTTTCAATCTGAAATTCTGCAGAATTTCGCCTCCAATACAGAGCTGGTTGTGTCTACTGTGATGAGTGTGTTGTCACTGCCAATGTTGTGGTGTTGGCATGGCACGGGTGCAGCACTAGATAACACCCTCTAAGTCCATTATAGCATGCCATGGCATAGGCAGAGCGCTGTGATATTATTACCACTCTGCTCCACAGTTGCTCAAGATTGCTGGATGCAGAACTGAGTTGTGAGGGCTGTTATAAAGTTGCTGTAAACTCCTCCCGCCATCACAGTTGGGTGTCATCAGGTCATTTAACTGTGATGTAGTGTTGCACTGTATAAGTGCTACTGTTTTACAGGTATGGACAGAACCTGCAGCAACGACTTGTGTGTAGCACAAGCAGGGTTATTAGCCAGAGTGGCAGAGAAATGACTGAATGTGTTGCAATCACACACTAAGATGCTCATCTTTGTGTGGAGTGGACACAGTTATTTACTGTTGTTGGAGTGATTACATCATGAACAGCTGTTATCCAAGCACACATATCTATGAAGAGGCTTGTTTTTGCTTTGAATCAAAAATATTTCAATCTGTATGTTTGCACCACCCAGAAAGTTGCTACCTGCCAGGCAGGTCAGGTTAGGATAGCTATTGAGCTCTCCTAAATCCTGGTCAAATGTTTTACTCCTGGTAGTTGTCATGTTTCACTGGTTAAGAATGACAGCCTGCTCTGGTACATTTAATTACAATCTACAATAACCTCTCCTCCACTTTGTATCTTATCAGTTATTTCAAGATGAAGATTGATACCAGCCTGACTATGCCCCAGCTTCCAGAGGCCCTGTCCCAGGCAGGCCTTCAGTTTGCTGTGGCCACTGAGGAGGACTTTGATGAGATCATGGCTATGAGCCAGGACATCTATGGAGGCCTTGACTACCTGCCCACTAGATACACCAGCTGGCTGCAGGAGACCAACCGCACAGTTATATTGGCCCGCAAACAGGGGAAAGTGGTAAGTTCAGTCAATAGTATATAAATATTTTAAAATTATGGGGTTAAGAAAAAGCAGAATTCTTGTATTACAGAAGAAAATGCAGGATGCTTATCCCTGTGCTTCTTGTTATTAGGTTTTTTAGTGCGTCTTTAATACAAATATGAACATGTTTAGCATATTCAGTAGATGACAGAAGTGGCCAATAACCCACCAAATAATCTTTGCACAGGGAAACCGCAGGGCAGATGAAAATCAAATATACTTTCTACTGTCTAAGTTCACTTAGCTACGACTCTCGGCATGATGTAAATTTTGTCGTCTTCCCATGTCTATGAGGGTCCCAGTGAACATTTGTACTGTATGCACTATTTGCCCACATCGGGACACGTCCTGCTGAGCCTGAAGTAGCTGTCAGCGTTTTATTCATCATTTATACTGTTATAATATCACAGCACCATGAAAGGCATTAATTTGCCGAATTTAACGTCTTTAGAAACATCCAAACTCTGGTTTATTGATCTTTAAAATGGCCACTTTAATGATCCATCTGTCATCGATGTAAGGACAGAGAGCGATCTCTGGACATAGTGGATTCATCCTCAGCTCAGAATCAAATCTATAGGCTACACAGTCCTTCTGTGGACATTAAGGCAGCTGTCAGGTTGCACTGAAACATGGACTACATTACTGCAGTAAACACTGTTTAAATCAAACTAATCTGTACAAAGCTGTAACTGATTAGTTGCAATCTGCCTTTTAGCTGCAGTTAGTCTTGATGTGTTTTGACAGTACTTCATAAAATGCAAAATACCCTGAACATATGCAGACTTGATTGAACTAATTCTGATCAGCCCCTTCCCGGGCTTAATCAACTCAGAGCTCAGGGTCAGGAGTTTGTTGAATCTGTTTTCTGAAACACAATGTTCCTACTATACAAAAATGTTTTATTTTAGATACTGCTGCTCGTTCTTTCCTTGTATTCCTATGTATGTTATAATTACCTTGCCTGTGAATGTTTGAGTTGTGGGTATGGACTGGGTAAGTTGTAAATGAATTGCCCTTAATTAGATCAATTAAGTCTGAACCTGAATCGTCTTCGATGCTTGGCAGATCGCTCTGGAGTCCGTGTGCGTGATTGACGACGGAGAGACAATGCTGGTGGAAGGCCTCCGTGTTGCCCCTCAGGAAAGAGGCAAGGGTGTCGCAGGCGTTCTGCTGCGCTTTTGCTGTGAGCTGGTCAAGTCCAAGTACCCAGAGGTCAAAGTAACCCGCTTGACCCGTGATGATCAGCTTGGACCCAAGGATTTCCAGAAGTATCGCATCATAACCAAGCAGGTACCAGCAACAAAAGCAGACTTCTAAAGTCTGTGTAGTGTTTTAGTTCTTCATCAGCTCAGACACTGGCTTTCTTGTCTACAGGGTATTCTGCTGGTGCGCTTCAGAGCTGAAGACCTCAAGCTTCGCCTGTCTGAACTTGGTCTGGGTGAAGACATCCAATCCTCTTTGTCCACCTCCCTCTCCGACCCTCCCCCGGTGCATCTCGACCATACAACTATCCACCGGCTCTATCTGACCACTGACCTGATGCAGGGGGTCCTTCCCAATGGCACCATTATTCAAGACTGGCAGCCATTCAAGCTTTTGCCCAGTAACATGGCTATCCTACTGAAGAAGGACATTGACTGGATGGTGGATGATGTGTCCAACCCTACTGTGGCCAGCCTCTGTACCTTCCCTTTCAGGGTGCCCATTGGAGAAGACTGGTAACTATCCTTTCTTTATTTATTCATTTAATGCCACGCAGATGTTGCAAGTTAAGTCAGGGACAACGGCTGTCCATAAGAAAGTGTACAGCGTAGTGAAGTACACTGCTATCTACTATAGCATATTTTGATTGTACTATTGGATGGTAACAGAGTTGCTCTTTTATTAGAAACTACACATAGTATTTAAGAGTGCAAGTTATTATGTTATTCATTTTCAGAATAAGAAATACTTTACAATCAGTGAACTGGTCCACTTTTTTTAAACCAGGTATTACCTAAACATTGACATGTTTGGTAAAGACCTGGACCTGGCTCGGCAACAGTTCCTGTGCCACCTGCAGCACCACACTGCCACACTGAAGGGTCACGTGATGTGCCAGATGTTCCTGGATCCACCTCTCTGGAAGCCCATGGCTGAGTTCTGCCACAACACCTTGAGCGTGGAGCTGGTGAAGGAGTATACTGAGCAATGCGTGGTGGAGTCAGACATCGTCTAGTTTCAGAAGCGGGATGGAAAGGAGCAGAGGATGAAGGAGCTATAAAGGAATGAAGACAAGGGTCTAGACAACAAGGAATGGACACTACTCAATTACACTTAACAGAAAAACATAACCCTCTGTAGTGAAGAGATAGAAAAAAAACAAACAAAATGTAGGTTCTATAAAACAAAACAACTTCTCAGAATGCAGTAAGTTAGATTGAACAATACATGAACAAATACAGTGTGTGGACATAAAATCATGAGCACATATTATCAGCTACAATAGGTGTGAGAAATACAACATTTGTTAAGATTCTAATATTTAATTGGTGTCAGAGATGTGTTGATACAACACAAACATAGTCATTTTTATGTAACATTTTTAAGGCTGCAGTTTTGAAGTGCAGGCTATCACCAAACCCAAATAAATGTGTTTTCAAAAATAGACACCCGACTGTGAGGGCAGTTAGCACTGTCAAGATGGTTTACATTTGGTCAACGGTACATATTTGTGTTCACCAGAGTTGAGCTCTGCGTAAAAGCCACAGCAAGCAAAAATATATGCTGTGATACCTTCATGCAACAACACTACAAACCATAGCCATAAAAGTGACTGTAGAATGAAATTATCCCCTTATAAAGTTAGTTTGAAATGAAGTTTTATGACAATGATAACTGGTGTTTTTGATATTATGTCCACCTTCTGTATGATGTACGACACGTGATGGTGTAATAAGAGTGATGTGCTTGGGGAAGCTTTCTCACACCGGTAGCAGTGATGTAACCTAAAACCTAAAAACAGTCAACATGCAAATGCTAAATGCTAAAAGTCCCCTAAGGTTATCTCAAACCTTTCATCTCTGCTTTTTCTGTAAATATGAACCTTCTAAATATGTACACAAACTGAGTTGGGTTACTAAATCTGCACAACTCTGAAGGCACTTTATTAAAACTACACAGACAGGTTGTGTCGACGTTAAAATGAAAAGGAATAGTTCAGGATCAAATAGGGTAATTTTACAGATCCCGTCACGCTGATGTCGATGGGTGCATCAATTCACTAGAATTACCTTAGGAACATTAACAACAAATCTCTGCTGAAACAACAAACAAAGTCTGTTAGTGAAATGAACATGCTCAGTCACAAATTGGCTGACAATTTATTCTTTGTTATGGTCAGGCTTAGGTCTTTTGTTTTTTTTGTTTCAAATATTTGACTGTATATATATGTTACTAATTTAATATTTTCACTTAAATGCTGCAATAAAATTTTAACAGAAATGATTAACTTCTGAAGCTATAAGTGAAATCTAGGCTTACTTTTGTAGATCGCTAGCAAAATGCCAAACAAAATGCGAAAAGCTTGAAAATGTGAAAGAGACTACTGGGCAGTTTCCTACTTGCCTCAGCTAATGGAGGGAGAGGAGAAGAATGAAAATAACTGTGTTAGAATTAACAGAAATAAATGTTTTAACCATCACTAATATTAGCTGGCAAAACCTTTTGAAAAAATAATATTCCCTGTGACCGTGCAAGACCAGTGCTCAGAGAAAGTTCAGCAAACTCATCTCCAGTTTAGCCATGAACACAATACTTTGGATTATACCATAGCCAAGGTCAGTGCTAATTCCTGCATGACTGGCACATTTCAAACAGAGTTCCAGTCAGCAGCTTATTTAGTGACGTGTTGGTTCTCCATGAGCCTCCAGAACAGCTTCATTACTCAGTATCATCTGAAAGTGGAAACCATAGCAACAGTTACTAGTTCACTCACTTGTGAAAATAACCATATATCTGATGACAATTTACACTGGGGCTCAATTGTTTTGCATTGCAGTATGAATGGCAATGTCGAGTGGTATGTTGGTCCATCACTTTTGTCCGCACTGAAATATCTTGACAACTTTTTGATGGATTGTCATGAAATTTGGTACAGACATGTGTAGTCCACCAGATGCACCAACAGGGCTTTACTATGAATCCTAATGATTCTGGTAATTCCCTGACTTTTCATAGTGCCACCAGTTGGTTAAAGTTTTTATTTATCCAGTGAAATATCCCTAATAACCCGAACATCTTTGATACTTCCCAAATTTTAGTACACACATTCATGTTCCCTCCAGTTGGTGATCCTCTGACTGACATAAACTTTGGTTTATGATCAAATACCTGCAAAACTAATGACCAAACATCAAAGCAAATTCCTTGTATATGAAAACCCACCTAGCAGTAAACCCAATTCTCATATTCTCATCAGCCTCAGTTACGATTTTTGTTGTTTAATGCTAATACTCTAAGCTAAACTAAGATGGTAAACATTATACCTGCTAAATATCATCACGTTAACAGTCACTTTGAGCATGTTAGCATGTTGATATTAGCATTTAGCCCAAAGCATCGGTGTACCTAAGTACTGCCTTAAAGTCTACACTTGTTCCTTTGGTAAGTGGCCGTGGTGTAAGCACAATACCAGACACTGATGTGTTGCCCATAGAGAAATAATTAACTTGGTGGAGGAAATAACACTACTTCACATTCTTTGGCCTGCACCTACATGTGGTACATTTTTTCTTGGAGATTTGCATTACCACCTCTACTAGAGGCATCATAGCAGGCCCAAAATGTTTTTAATGTCTATAGTGATTAACTAGGCATGACATCATGAGAGTTTCCATAGCACCGCATCTTTACACTCTAAATCTCCCTTTAAATACCCATAGAGAGGGTGTGACAAAGGACCATTTGTCTGAGCCAGACAGGAATATCTTTTAGGAAAAACATCTCAGTTTGTATAGAACTATTGTACCTCCCTGTTGCCTTGACCAGCTTTTATCTTGACTTTGACCACCTTCTTCTTCTGGTATGCAATTTTCTAGGTGTGAGGATGACTGGGCCTATTTTCTGAAGAAAGATAAATGATGAGGAAGTATTTATTTCCTGATGGAAAAGGATTAAACACACTGAAACTTTTAAATATTAATATTTTAGGAAAGACCAATTCAGTGGTCACAATCCTCAACATATTGCAGGGAGCATAACAAAATAGGAGGACTATCTTTTTACCCTATTGTTTGTAACCAAAGAAAGTCACCACTCATCTAAACTGATGCCCTATTATTTGCTGCCAGGAGTGAAGTAAAGCTGTGGAAGGTTGAAAGGCCATGGTAGTAATTATTTTTTACCATTTGTTTGCTCGTGATCACAGAACATTTTTGTGATCTATTTTTAAAAATATTTATAAAAGTGGTTTTATAACTTGGGCCCACCTTATCACGTCAGTTGATATAGTGCTTTCGCAGCTCATATTCCGGTATTCCCAGAAAAGTGGCAAAGTTGTCATCACACAGCAAATCTGTGGCTTTTAGGGGCCCATCAGAGTCCGGGGCCCTGGGCAGCTGACTGCTTTGCCTGTTTGGTAATCCAGCATTAAGTCTACCACAGCTGCAGAAAAATTCTGTGTATTATAATATGTGAAAATGTTTCATAGTGTGCCCTTGGTAGTGAATAAGTAGAGTAGCTTCATTAAGCATTCGCTAATATAATATTCCTAATGGTGTTACTAGTGGCAGAAATAGTTTTCCTGTGGTAGGAAACAGCTGGTTTACTGTATAGTGTGACCTTGTGTTAGCTTGTCATAGATCATTCCCTTCTACTTGTCTTCAGCCACATCCTCCAGCTAGTCCTGGGGGATCCCAACACATCCCCCGGTCTGATGGGATATGTATTCCCTTCAGCGTGTTCTTTGTCTGCCCTGAAGTCCCCCCCCCCCCCACTTGGACAAACTCTGTCCGAGATGCCTGAACCATCTCAACTGGCTCCTTTTGATGTGTATGAGCAATGGTTCTACTGTGTCTGAGTGCCTCACCCTGTCTTTCAGAGTGTGATCAGACATCCTGGGGTTATTTAGGTTGCTTGTATCTGTGATCTCATTCTGTCTTCAATACAGATCATTTAGAAAGTAGATCAGCTGGACCATGACAGTCCAGTCCAGTGTCCACATTACAGAATGATGCAGCAGTCATTTTCTGTCAATCTAACTTTCCATCTTATCCTCACTTTTTAAAAAGACCTCAAGATAATTATTGGCAGCTAATCACTCGCAACTCAGAGCTAGCTATCCTCCATTTTCCAGAAGAATACCACGATTCAGGCTTGGAGGCGCTAATCATACTTGAATTACCACCAGTTTCGTCTAATGATTTTGTGATCACGAAAAAACAAAGCTTGTTAATTTCAAGACCGTGTGATCATTTTCTTGTGATTTCAAGAAAACAACAAAAAAACAGCAACAACAATCACCAACAAGCATCTTAACCCATGTGCTGTACTGCCTTCTTTATGAAGATGTCTAGGAAGATAAATCTTTTAAAAGCCTTTATTCAATGATGAAGAAATGTACTTATGCAGCCTCTCCCCACCTCCAAACACACACACACACACCACCAGTTAGTATAGTAAACTCTAACCAACTGAATAATCTTTGAAACATACTCTGTAGCTGGATATATTCCTCACAATCAAATACACCCTCTGTTAAGTTTCACATAAACCTCACCTTAACTATAGAACAGTATGTAGGTGTATCTTTCAACAGATTATGTTAAATATACTTATTAACTTATTTTTTGTTGTTTAGTCATAATAATATGTAATAACTGTAAATACTGTACGTTGTGCTGGAAAGCCACTTGAGCTTGTGTGATGTCAGAATGACGACTTGGCCTAAAAGCTTATGATCATAATTCCTCATTTTGAGGAAACAAATTGTTGCCAGTCGTGAGTTTTTCTCTGAGAACTTGTCAACTCATCACTGATCACCTCGTTTTATAAAATAAATTTAAATTCTATTTTCAGTGTTCACTCAATACGCCCTGCTGCCACTTCCCTTTCAGCATAATTTCTAAATACTCTGCGTCCCGGAGCCCTGATGTTATTAGCTTCACAGCAGGCAAAAGAAAAAAGAGATCTGTTGTTTGTCTACTAATCTGGTGGGAAGGGGGAAGAGCATTTTTTCAAGGATTTCTTTCAATGCGTACATGTACAAATCATCAATCACCAACAAATCAAGAATCCATTGTAAAATGTGTTGATGCTTTCATTCATTTGAAGGCCTCAGTATGCTTCAAATGAAGTAGGTTGTAAAACATTTTGTCTGACAGTGTGAAAAGTGTTTAATACTTGTTACAAATGACCACACTTGAAGGCGGGCAAAAAGCCTGCCATCACAGAATCCCCTTGAAATCATCCCACTGCCACGCCCATCTTTTTCAAGAGTTCTGTGCTTTGTGTGTCTTTGTAGTCTGGATGTGATGAATTGTACAATTGGAGATAATATTTTATTTCACCAACAATCTCAGCATCAGAAAAAAAAGTTCCAGATAAAAAAGTTTGTTTATTTTTGTTTATAGCATACTGAGGCCTTATTTTTTAACAACAAGCTTCTTTTTACCCCTGAAATTGCGGGGGTCATGGCAGCCTTGATGAACTGGCTTGGTCAATTTTAATCATTTTGGGCTTGAGTTTTGTAAAGAACACATTTTTGGTTGCTCTGAACTACATGCAAAGCAAAGCATCATTGGATGCCTTATTATTCTTGTATCAACTGAATTTTAATGTTCTCAATTGTTTGGCTACTGTTTGTGCCATTAGCCTAAACGTTTGCCCTCTAACCCAAGACAAGTTCATTTTAAACAATTCATTCCTATTTTGATTTTTGTCCAAGAACTTAACTTTTCTTAACTATATAAAGTTTAGTAATCATCACATGTGAAAGACAATATTTTATTATTGCTTATCAAGAGCATTTTGACATTCCAAAAATTGTAATTGATGGTCAAATTATTCTGGCAGAAGCTGTAGGTTTCTTTTCTGTGTTTCATTGTGCTGTTAATGAACCAACTGTTCATTCCATATACAAGTCCTCAATGTACAGTACTGTGCAAAAGTTGGTGGGTGTGGAAAAACAAAGTACAAAATGAGTGAACAGAAGAAAAATCTAAATCAAATCAATATTTGGTGTGAGCACCCTTTGCCTTCAAACAGCATCAGTTCTTCTTGGTGCACTTGTACGTAGTTTTTGAAGGAAATCTGCAGGTAGGTCGGCCCAAACATCTTGGAGAACTCCCCACAGTCCTTGTGTGGATTTAGGCAGCCTCAGCTGCTTCTCTCTCTTCATGTAATCCCAGACAGACTGGATGATGTTGAGATCAGGGCTCTGTGGGGGCCACACCATCACTTCCAGGACTCCTGGTTCTTCTTTAAGCTGAAGATCGTTCTTAATGACTTTTGTTTGGGCTCGTTGTCATGCTGCAGAATAAATTTGGGCCAATTCAGATGCCTCCCTGATGGTACAGCATGATGACTAAATATCTGGCTGTACTTCTCAGCATTGAGGAGACCTTTCATTCTGACCTAATCCCCAACTCCATCTGCAGAAATTAAGCCCCAAACTAGCAAGGAACCTACATCAAGCTTCACTGCTACCTGCAGACACTCATGCTTGTACTGCTCCCTCTGTGCATAGTGGAGTTGTGTGGCCTTGTTTCCATGTCGAAAGCTTTTTGGTAGTCTTCCATAGAGGCCACTTCTGACCAGACTTCTCCAGACAGTAGATGGGTGTACCAGGGTCCCACCGTTTTCTGCAACTCTGAGCTGACATCTTCAGATTGTGAAAAGAAGTAAGCATGATGTGTCTTACATCTGCTGCAGTAAGTTTCTTTGGCTGACCACTGCATCTACAATCCTCAGTGTTCCTTGTTTCTTTGTACTTCTTCATAAGAGCTTGGACAGCACATCTGGAAACCCCTGTCTGCCTTGAAATGTCTGCCTGGGAGAGAGCTAGTTGATGCAGTGTAACTACCTTGTGTCTTGTTGCTGTGCTCAGTCTTGCCATAGTAAACTGTCTTCAGCATCCTCACCTTGTTAGCTGAGTTTGGCTGTTCCTCACCCAGCTGGATTCCTCCTTCACAGCGGTTTCTGTTTCACTTCACATATTGAATTGGTGATCATTAGCACCTGTTTGGTGTAACTCATACACATGACGATATGCCTACAAAATCCCTGACTTTGTGCAAGTGTACCAAGAAGAACTGATGCTGTTTGAAGGCAGTGAGTGGTCAAACCAAATATTGATTTGATTTAGATTTTTCTTTTGTCCACTCACTGTGCATTTTGTTAATTGATAAATATAAAATAATCTATCAACATGTCTATTTTTGAAAGCATTCTTACTTTACAGATTTTTTTCCACACATAAAACTTTTGTACATTACTGTACATGCTTTCAAACACCAGTGCCAAAGCTGACGAGACTCTTAGGTCTAAAACTTCAAAAACAGTTTCTGCCACTGAGTTCTGCAGATTGAGATCAATCCAACAAATGTGGTTTGATCATTTGAAACCTTCTACATAGTGTATAAAAAGCGATCATTTTATCCAAAGCTTATCAGTTTCTTCCAGTATTGCAGTGACTGTATTATTTGTACTCTGCCTGATGCACTTCTGCTTAGCTACCAGATTTGAACTTGACCTGTATTTTTTGAGCTTGGGATTGGACTTGGGATAACTGCAACGTGGTTTTATGTGACTGTCAAACACATAGCGAACAGAGTTCTTGGATTAACGTTTTTCATTGCCACTTTCATATAAGGTATGCTTGTTAATAAATCACTTATTAGTATTGATCAGTAAAAAAAAGCAGTTCAAAAGGACTTTTTTTGTTTTGTTTTTTGTCCTAAGAGACTTCTTTGATTAACCCTTTTAAAAACCATTTTTTAAAAAGTAATTCTTTGTAAAGGGTTTATACATTGTAACTAATTGCTTTATTAATGTTAATAAATAATTTATTTATAGCTAATAGGTCAGTAAAATTGACAACATTTTGGGTTGAAGATTAAGAAAAAACAATTTGATGTGCACTATGTCATCTTCCAGCAAAAATATATTTTCTATTTTGAAATAGCTCTTAGCACAATGACCACCTTCTGGAAAGGGACTGCAAATTTTAATGGTTTATTAGAAAGTGAGGGCTGGAACACACTTCTCAGAGCTGCCTCAAAGAAAATGTGCTTGGTTGTTGTTTATTTGGTAACAGATTTTGGGTACTTCACCGTGTCTTAGGTGGTTTCGAAGGTGGTGACGCTCCTCTCTGCTTAGATCTGCAGAGATGTTAAAATGTTAAAATATGTCTTTGTAGAACTTTGTAGAATTCCAGCTTCAGGGTCATGATTTTCTCTTCTCCAATGGAGGGAGAAAGGTCAACAAGTCCTCCAGACTAATTATCAAATTACATAATTTCTCTTTGTTCGTTAAAACAACCCTTAGTAGTGTTTCTGGTCTTGCACCCATTCCGGCAGGATGACATAATTTGTCAGTGCCTTCTGAAACTGTCAGAAATCACTTTTAAAATCACTGGTAAAATAATTCATATGATGTTTCCTGATCTGCCGCCTCTGTGGTGAATGTTTGTTTATGTTCAGGGACAAAATGACTTTGTTAGTGTGGAAATACTGTGATTTAGGTCAAAAGCACCCAATTTCTCAAGGTTAGGGAACCTATGTCAAGAGAATTTTGGTTTAAACAAAGCAACAGTGACTCCTAGGAAATGGGAAACAAACTGCAATCACTTGTGTCAAAGTCAGACGCTTGACCTGCACCCTTCAAACCTATCCAATGACAACATTATAGTAACAGCTGCCTTTGCTCTCAAAGGTATTTGAACAAACAACTCTATTGTTTTTAATGGAAGGACAGTCTCACTATTAAAGAGGACACTTATACCTGGAGGAGGATATTCACCAGGCTAAGGGATTTTCCCACAACCTGAGAATTCAAAAGTCTTTCGTATAAATGCTTTATTGCATTAGTAACACATTATAAAACGTGGCCCCACTGTCAAATAAAGTACAATTTACAAAAGGGTTATGATACCATACAGCTGGCACTGGCAAGCATCACCATCATGTACAAGTCAGGGATACTAACACAGGATGTATTTGATGAAGAGGAAAATACAAATGAAAGGATAGATAAAAAAGGTTCATAAACTTTAAACATTAGATATAGAGCCCAGTAGCTCCCTCAAATCCCATTAATCAGGGAGAGCAGCTTCAACAACAAAGTTTCAGAGGTTCCAGAGGGCCGGATGCCTACGCTTACTGCAGACTTCTATATACAGAAAATATAGCGCACAAATATACAATATGTTCAGTAGATACTCTGGATTTTATGCATAGTAGTTCTTCACTGGATGTGGATGCATTGTGTGATTGAGGGTAGCTCAAAGAAGTGCCAAATTTAATGCTAAACTTCTATATTTGTCAATTAACTCATGGAATTGTACTAGTTTTAGTTGAAAACATATATATGAGTATATGTTTGCCCTTTTAAAAGTCAAGGTGATATCATCAGTGGCTGAATGTGACACTGAAATGATTTATTGAAAGATTTTTTTGGTTACTTATAGCACTTTGTTTAAAAAATGTGATGATTGTATACTTTGTATACAAGTGAATAAAATGCTAACACATTGTGCTGCAAACCCTATAGGTATTATAGGGTTAAGTGTTATATTAATGTATGTTTTATGAATTACTGTACAAGCCATTGAGTTAGTGGGTAAAGCAGCATGCACTTTAGTTGTCTTTGGCAATAATAGATAAGCTCCCATCTCCTGTAAAGTAGCATCGACTTCAGTGAAAAACAAATGTTGTTGTCGCACATCTTGATGTTCAGAAACAATCATACAGTGTCATGTGAGATAAGCCTTTCTCTGTCAGTTTTACAATGTTTCTTCAAAGCTGAACCATTTCATAAATGACATGTAGAGCAGTATGTACATCAGTATACAGTGGCAATGAAAATAAGACTATATTTTATTCTGAGAAAACAGCTGTAAGATTAACACAATAAGAGATGAAATGGCTGTGTTTTGAAGGAGTAATGCAGTTTTGGGTTAGTTAGAGATAAAAAGGAACTAAGTACATTTAGTATACTAGCTTTTACGTACTTTATGTGAGTAATTCCATTTTGTGAGACCTTATACTTTTACATTTCAGAGAGAAATATCCTTTTTACTCCACTACATTAACCTGAGAGCTGTAGTAACTAGACTAACGTTGTTACATGCAAATATAAATACGATGCACTGCTAGAATTTAAACTAGCCAGTGTGATGATAGAAATGTGTAGGTTTCAAAGATAATTTTATTTTCATATGCACTCAGTGATGCAAATCTTTAACTCTGTACATTAAATCTTTCTCTGTGCTTGATTTGTAGTGATTGCTTTATCATGGCTTGATTGGTAATGCCTTGGACCTCCATAAGGGGGAACGTGAACAACCCTTTCTCATTTGTTGTATTTTAAGTAAAGACAAGTGACGAGTCTGTGTTTTCTTTCACATTATTTCCCTCCTGTAATCGAACATTTTGAACATTTTTGGAAATACCCCTATTCACTTCCTTTCCAATAGTTATCAGTGCTGTAAAGAAATAGTTCAAACTTTTGGAGAAATTCCATTCGCTTATTTGCTTTCTTTCAGAGAGTTACATGAGAAAATGGATATAAATCTCATGTGTTAATTAGAGCGTGGTTAGCCTAGGTTAGCATAAAGACTGGAAGCAGTCAAAAATACAGCTACTTTCATGTCTAAAACTCACTAATAAACACAGTGTATCAAGCTTGCTAACATGTACAGAAACAGAAATGTAAAAATGAAAATTTGTGGTTTTAGGGGTGTTATGTGCTGGAACTGTTTCTTGATGACATGTGGTATCTTGTTATTCATAAGCCCAGTTTACTATTTCTGTGCAGCATCTGTGGCCATTGCGTGGATTGGCAAATATGGTCGGTGAGCACTGGACAGGCACTGTACAGGCACGATGGCACCAAACCTGGCACCCTCATTGTGATGAAAAGGCTGTTGTTCAGCAAGAACTATTTCTAGCACATAACTCCCCATAAAACCAAATATTGACTGGTAAATACTTTTTAACTCTTGAAAACTTGAAAATATCTAAGCTAGCTGTTTCCCCCTGCGTCCAGTTTTTATGCTAAGCTAGGCTTACCATAGCCTGGCTCCAGCTCTATTCTTCTCATAGACATGAGATTGATATCAATCTGAACATCTTACTCACAGAAAGAACGACAATAACTGCATTTTACAAAATGTTTAATTATTCCTTACTCAGAAAAGGGTCTGGAGTTAGGACATGCCTAGCTTAGCATAAAGCCTGGGGGTGGGGAGAAACAGTTAAACATATGTGTGTCTCTCAAAAATATTGAACTATTCCTTGAAGGGCTGAAAATCAGCTGTATGTTGACAAATTTGTTATTTACAGTAAATCACATCAGTCCTAATGCAAAGTAATATACAAATGTGAAATCACAACATTGTACTACTTATTTACTTTTACTTACATAAGCTTCAGAATGCAGTATTATTTAATTGTGGTACTGATTGCTTTACTTAAATAAAGGGCTTATGTCCTTTTCCCACTGCTGTTGAAGTCATTCTGTGGCTATCATATTTTTAATTATTATAGTTTGATAAGAAGGTATTTTTATAGCACAACACTTTTGGATTGTTGTCCAGTTGAATTAGTATTTGTAGAAAATATTCTAGATAGCCAAGCTATAAATAGTCTCTGTGACTCAAAATCAAAAAATGTGGAGTCACAGAGAAACCTGTTTCTCAAATCATATCCTACAAAGCGAATATCATGAAATTCACATTTTTGCTACAACTGTTGCAGTATGAATGTGGAGGTATATTCCCATGATTTATCTGAACAACCCTTTCCAATATTTTTATTCAGAAAAATGAACTAACTCTGCATATGTACTGTATTGGCAGAATTACTCTGACATCCATTAACTTGTTTTACAGAGATTCATGTTGGCTGGTAATTGGTTAGGAAGATACATACAACCACAAATTATGCTGAGACAACAGCTCAATGGGTTGCCATGAAATTTGGTGCAGACCCTGTTCCCCTCAGGATGAAATAATAACTTTCTCGATCCCCTGACTTTTCATCAATGGTCAACATCAGGTCTTAATTATAATAAAAATAATAATAATAATATATTTCATTTATAACACACTTTACACTTGAGGCAAATCTCAAAGTGCTACAAGGTAAAAGCATCAATATAAAAACAGCTAAAAAGCATAAAAACAATAAAAATTTTATCTGCAAACTATTGACATTCCCATTAGCCTCAGCTGTATGTATTCAATGCTAATTAGCAAGTGTTGCATGCTAACATGCTAAGATGTTGAACATGCTATACATTACTAAACATCAGCAAGTTAGCATTGCTATTGTTAGCATGCTGACATTAGCATTCGTACCCAAGTACAGCCTTTATAAAAATCTGCTAGCATGGCTGAAGATCTTTGTCTTGTTTTTATGTGAATCGTTCACTAAATTGTCTCCATCTTTTGCCACACATTCATATTTTGTCACTAGAATGACATAATTTGAGCAAGCAGCCATGATTACTGACTTTATGCTTAAAATTAAAGAGATTTAAGATTAGATAAGATTAAATATAAAAGTAAAATATACATTTATTTATGAGAAAATATTGTCTTTGTGCTACAATGGGAAACATAACATAACATGCAAGTTGTAACACTGACAGTGGAGGGCAGAAATACACAATGTAAGCGGGAGAACAATGGTATTGGAGTTTGGAAATAATTGATAATACCATAATAAATCTTTGATATATACATATGTACATGTTTTCCTAAATTTCCACCAAAAAACAAAATGAAGTCACTATTCTAAAACCTTGAAATAAAAATTAAAATTAGGAAAAGTGATCATGCTCCATACTACAGGACATATTTTCTCTGAATGATGCAGACAATTATAAATCAAATTAGCTTTGGAAATGAGAACTAGTTTAAAAAAAAGCAAAAAACACCACAAAAAATTTCTGCTGTTAATAGAACAATGTTGTTATTGTGACTTTAAAACAAGTCAAATCTCTGCAATTAAAATATAATACAGTTTGTGCTTGTCAGTGTAGTGTATTTTATAATTGTAAAAAATCCCATTAACATTCAAACTAACTAGTTGGTATCCTCCACAAACAGCACTGGTTCTATCATTAGCATTATAAAAAAGTATTTATGTCTCAAAAGGGCCGGTCCGTGCATGAAATCGCTTATAGGTAGCCTAATTCATCTGCAGTTGTTAACATTGTATTATGAAAAATGCCACTTATAGGGGTATTACCTAAATTAATTTTTCTACTTGCGCTAATGCAAATGTATGACCCATATGAGTTCATTTTTCCAGAGCCGATGCTGCCTAAACGATTTTAGCATTATGGCTGTTTAATTGTCGCACTGAATGAAGACATACAATGCAAAATAAAGACCAACTAGAAGATCAAAGCATTATTACTTTTGTTGCCTATTCTTATAAACAAATAACAAATAAGACTGACTTGTATGTAGACATCGTATGTTGTTCATTTTTGTATTGTTTATCAATTAAAGGCATTAGATTATATTTCATATGACGTTACTTTTTATAGCCTATATATTTATCTTCTTTCACCTAGTTTGTGTACCTTTGGTTAGCTCAGTTGCCCCCTTTTTCAAGCTGTATTGTATTTCTGTGTAAGTACATTGAGGGCAACAAAAGAAGTGAAATTTCTTGTATGTGTACATAGCGAGGGATCATCCGTCCCATGCGCGCTCACATCTGGCATCCAATCACGCGTCGAAATAACGAGTACTACCCAATCACAGCACAGTAAGGCGGGACTTGCCGGTGGCAAAACTATAAGGCACGGGAAGTAGAAGGGTTTTCACCTCAGACCTTCAGAATAAAAGCAAACACGTTTTCCATTGGTTTTAAGTTCGGCAATGTAATTTAGTAGGCCTATTTATTCTCCATTCACACTAAATGGAAGCACGGATGAGTTAATATCATAAACATACTATATATTAAATCATTTAAATTGTTACTGTAGAGTCCAATCAGTATTGGAAGTTTGTCATTCAGTTCAATTGATGTGTGAAGACTACGCTCTTATTCGGAAGATTCCCGACAGGAAGTGTTGTTTTTGCTGCTGCTGGCAGATGAAGCTGCTGGAGATTCCTCTGGCACACAAGTACGTGATATCAGCTGTTCAAAGGTCGTTTTGACAACTGTCTAAGACGAGAGACAGCGATACCAACAGGGAAGGTAAGACAACAGACATAACTATAACAACCAATTCAGCTCATTGAGGAGCTGTTGTTATCCAAGTCAGTCACTTTAGTAAACATTAACATCTCCTTCTCCATGTGTTAGCCAGTAAACAACGCTGTGTATGTAACATTAACGTTACAGCTGCGAAGCGGGGTGGCTCCTGGGCCTTAAGCCCGAACCTTTTCAAATAACTTCAAATTTGTATAATTTCTCCTCAGTCTCTCTGACTGGACCGTCAAATCAATGGAGCAAAGGTTCTATTACTGGAGAAATATCGACATCTATATGTCTGCCCTAACATAGTTAGCCCTGTGTGCGCCTCATTCATTCACTAGTGTCACCAGAAATTGTATGGGTGTCAACCAACTAAGTCAGCAAGCTAGCTAGCTAACCGATTTATGGACTATGAAAATAAAGTTTTTCACGGAGAGTAAACCTCAGAGTGGAGCAGCAGCACTTGGAGCCCAAGTGGTCATAAACGCCTGGTCGGGGGCCTCTGACTGCACACTGACACGTCCAGAGCGTGTGATTTGGATTCACAGTACACTACAAATGTGTGTAACAGTCTGCCACACACATATACATTTAATGTGGTTAAAGCAGGGATGTATGTGAAAGAAAAAAGTTGAAGGTTGTACTTGGAGACCTAACATTATCATCTAATTCCCTCCCTGTTTTTTCACAGAGAGTGCAAAGTGCCTTATGTCCCTGCACGAACCTCGCCAGCCTGAACATAAGAAGATGGACCATGGAGTGGCAGACCTTCCCAGCGGCCCGCTGGATATCTACAGGAAAAAAGCCTCCTTCAGCTGGAAAGACATGCTGCTCTTCATAGAGGGAGAGGAAATTCTTGTATTCAAGGTAGCTGTCCGCATTAAATGTTCTCTGTAGGTAGGACTAAATCTGCCAGTGTAATAATGTGAATAGTTGTACACAACATGTGCCACAGGTTTAAAAAAAAAAAAAAGGAAAAAAAAGGCCCCATTGTGTAGACTTGTGACTAGTGGTTGTATCAAAGACAGCAGGCTGCAGTTTACAGTTTGGTAGGTGGGTGGGGTTGGGTATAGAGAACCTGTTCCAAATCAGAACCGTTACCAAATTTTCATGAACGTGGATTGGATAAGACACGTTCAATTTGGATTTGGTTAGCCCATGAAACAGACACTTTAAGAAGAACTAGTTCATTTACAGATAAATACAGACTGCTTTGACAACTTCCCTGCTTTAACCACATTAAATGTAAATTTGGCATGCTGGTTGAAATGCATCTTCTGTTTGGAGAGTGATATAATAAGATGATTTATTTACATGAGATGCATAATTCCTTTACTGCTGAGCCAAGTATTTAGTTTGCTCTTGTTGATAAATCACCAAAGTGGCAGCAGTGTAATGTTGTGGTTCTGAGACATTTATTTTCAGCGCAGACAATAACTTGCTTTATGCCGGGCTTATTTGAATGAGCCTGTTTGTGCCTCTCCTCATACCTGTTCACTGTGCACTGTGCCGGGCACCAAAATACCACACAGACAGGCAAAGAGAAGGTCAAGGTCAGGATAACTGTCGACGCTCTGCTTCCATAACAGGGCCCTCCTCACCTTGTACAGAGTGCGTTTCATCACTACGTTCTTCCTCTTCTTCTTGTAGAATTCTTGGTGTGTAGAAGCTCATCACTATGTTAAATATGAATGTTTGAAGAAGAAAAAGAAGTAATAATGTACAGCAGGGGTTGGCAAATAAGTTTTGCATCAGAGCAATTTTTTCTGTTAGATTGTGGATGAGAACATAAGACATAATATTTAAACTACAGGGGTTGGACAATGAAACTGAGACGCCTCTCATTTTAGTGTGGGAGGTTTCATGGCTAAATTGGACCAGCCTGGTGGCCAATCTTCATTAATTGCACATTGAACCAATAAGAGCAGACTGTGAAGGTCCAATTAGCAGGGTAAGAGCACAGTTTTGCTCAAAATATTGCAATGCACACAACATTATGGGTGACATACCAGAGTTCAAAAGAGGACAAATTGTTGGTGCACGTCTTGCTGGCGCATCTGTGACCAAGACAGCAAGTCTTTGTGATGTATCAAGAGCCACGGTATCCAGGGTAATGTCAGCATACCACCAAGAAGGACGAACCACATCCAACAGGATTTAACTATGGACGCAAGAGGAAGCTGTCTGAAAGGGATGTTCGGGTGCTAACCCGGATTGTATCCAAAAAACATAAAACCACGGCTGCCCAAATCACGGCAGAATTAAATGTGCACCTCAACTCTCCTGTTTCCACCAAAACTGTCCGTCGGGAGCTCCACAGGGTCAATATACACGGCTGGGCTGCTATAGCCAAACCTTTGGTCACTCGTGCCAATGCCAAACGTCGGTTTCAATGGTGCAAGGAGCGCAAATCTTGGGATGTGGACAATGTGAAACATGTATTGTTCTCTGATGAGTCCGCCTTTACTGTTTTCCCCACATCCGGGAGAGTTACGGTGTGGAGAAGCCCCAAAGAAGCGTACCACCCAGACTGTTGCATGCCCAGAGTGAAGCATGGGGGTGGATCAGTGATGGTTTGGGCTGCCATATCATGGCATTCCCTTGGCCCCATACTTGTGCTAGATGGGCGCGTCACTGCCAAGGACTACCGAACCATTCTGGAGGACCATGTGCATCCAATGGTTCAAACATTGTATCCTGAAGGAGGTGCCGTGTATCAGGATGACAATGCACCAATACACACAGCAAGACTGGTGAAAGATTGGTTTGATGAACATGAAAGTGAAGTTGAACATCTCCTATGGCCTGCACAGTCACCAGATCTAAATATTATTGAGCCACTTTGGGGTGTTTTGGAGGAGCGAGTCAGGAAACATTTTCCTCCACCAGCATCACGTCGTGACCTGGCCACTATCCTGCAAGAAGAATGGCTTAAAATCCCTCTGACCACTGTGCAGGACTTGTATATGTCATTCCCAAGACGAATTGACGCTGTATTGGCCGCAAAAGGAGGCCCTACACCATACTAATAAATTATTGTGGTCTAAAACTAGGTGTTTCAGTTTCATTGTCCAATCCCTGTACATGTTATGGTGTTCAGTTAGCTCAGCTGGTAATGTGCAAAACTCTTACCTAGAATATTGCGTGTTCATCCCATGTCGGGCGAATTTTTTTCCCCTCTTCAACAAATTGATCATGAAGCAAATGTTTCACTTGTTCACAGTAAAGCATGTGCTGCAGTGTGTGTGTTCCAGTGTTTGATCCGTATCCATCAATCTACGGATGCTTTTTCATTTCCCCAGGATCTCCAGTCAGAGGATATTTAATTCAGTTCAATTCAATTTTATTTATATAGCGCCAAATCACAACAACAGTTATCTCACAGCGCTTTTCATAAAGAGCAGGTCTAGACCGTACTCTATGATGATATTTACAGAAGCCCAACAGTTCCCACCAAGAGCAGCACTAGGCGACAGAGGCAAGGAAAAACTTCCTTTAAGAGGCAGAAACCTCGAGCAGAACCATGGCTCAGGGTGGGCGGCCATCTGCCTCGACCGGTTGGGGGTGAAGGAGAGAGAGGGCAAGAGAGAGAGGGATGGAAGGAGAGAGAGGGGAGGGAGGCAGCCATAAATAAGTCTGGCCCCGTCGGGCTCGGGATAAAATGCAGGGCTCTCACACTGAAACTTTAAGGTAATAAGAGAACATTATTGACGTCCTGTGTCATCTTATTGTTCCTCTACACATCCTGTACATGTTGTCTTCTCTGTGCTGCAGCAACATGTGTTTAAGACGTTGGAGAATGATCCTCTGTTCGCCCGTCAGCCCGGTGAAGACATCCCTATCGGGAAAATGAGAGAGCTGACCTTCCTCAGGTATCAGCATAACAGAAAGTTTCACATTTTGTACCCACTGTGTTTTCAGCCATATAGGCTAGTACAATTCAGTTATTTTACTACCAGTATTGTCCTCTAGGGGCGGCCAATATGGCCAAAATTCTTCTTCTGTCACAGTATTTGTAATTTTAAATTAAGGTAATGGTATCACTACAGAGCATTCATTACAAAATTATTTAAAATAACCGTACCATATTTCATTGCATTTGATTATTTTCTTCTTTTATTTAGAACTTCCATACAAACAAAAACAGCTCCTCCTGCTCTGTCTTTACAATTTCACTCTCTTCCATGTTTTCCTGTTATTCTTTTTCTGCAGCGGTTAGCAGACCTGCTTAGAGGTGCATTACTGCCACCAACTGTCGCTCTAACGTCACGGGAGAATGTTAAAAGCAGTCCCGCTGCCCAAATCATGTTACCTTGTGAGGCAGCTGGATTCATGAGATCATGCAGAATCCAGCCCTGATATGCTACATATCAGCCTGCCCTGAATATATTGAAACTGAGACTGTATTGCTCTTGTTATATACTGTCATATCGCCCAACCCAATGTCTTACATTGTAACATAAAATTAAAATAAAGCTTCAGATAAAAATCCACAGGGTGAAGCAGCTCTTCTGCTACGACTTCACAACAAAAGAAGAGTCCATGGCCAACCCCTGGAAGATTGTGGTGCTCAGTGATTGTCTTGGCATGTATGACTGGTCCATTTCATCCAAGTTCTTTCTCAACAAAGGGGTGAGTGCTCATTGGTGGTTGTGGTGGGAAGTATGCAAAATTAAACACCGAACATATGAGAATATAAAAGAGTTAAAGGACATGTTGTGTTGCTGGGTGTTTGCTATGACAAAGAAACTTTACTTTTCTCTACTCTACCCTCACCTAAAGGATTATTAGGAACACCTGTTCAATTTCTCATTAATGCAATTATCTAATCAACCAATCACATGGCAGTTGCTTCAATGCATTTAGGGGTGTGGTCCTGGTCAAGACAATCTCCTGAACTCCAAACTGAATGTCAGAATGGGAAAGAAAGGTGATTTAAGCAATTTTGAGCGTGGCATGGTTGTTGGTGCCAGACGGGCCGGTCTGAGTATTTCACAATCTGCTCAGTTACTGGGATTTTCACGCACAACCATTTCTAGGGTTTACAAAGAATGGTGTGAAAAGGGAAAAACATCCAGTATGCGGCAGTCCTGTGGGCGAAAATGCCTTGTTGATGCTAGAGGTCAGAGGAGAATGGGCCGACTGATTCAAGCTGATAGAAGAGCAACTTTGACTGAAATAACCACTCGTTACAACCGAGGTATGCAGCAAAGCATTTGTGAAGCCACAACACGCACAACCTTGAGGTGGATGGGCTACAACAGCAGAAGACCCCACCGGGTACCACTCATCTCCACTACAAATAGGAAAAAGAGGCTACAATTTGCAGGAGCTCACCAAAATTGGACAGTTGAAGACTGAAAAAATGTTTCCTGGTCTGATGAGTCTCGATTTCTGTTGAGACATTCAGATGGTAGAGTCAGAATTTGGCGTAAACAGAATGAGAACATGGATCCATCATGCCTTGTTACCACTGTGCAGGCTGCTGGTGGTGGTGTAATGGTGTGGGGGATGTTTTCTTGGCACACTTTAGGCCCCTTAGTGCCAGTTGGGCATGGTTTAAATGCCACGGCCTACCTGAGCATTGTTTCTGACCATGTCCATCCCTTTATGGCCACCATGTACCCATCCTCTGATGGCTACTTCCAGCAGGATAATGCACCATGTCACAAAGCTCCAATCATTTCAAATTGGTTTCTTGAACATGACAATGAGTTCACTGTACTAAAACGGCCCCCACAGTCACCAGATCTCAACCCAATAGAGCATCTTTGGGATGTGGTGGAACGGGAGCTTCGTGCCCTGGATGTGCATCCCACAAATCTCCATCAACTGCAAGATGCTATCCATCAATATGGGCCAACATTTCTAAAGAATGCTTTCAGCACCTTGTTGAATCAATGCCACGTAGAATTAAGGCAGTTCTGAAGGCGAAAGGGGGTCAAACACAGTATTAGTATGGGGTTCCTAATAATCCTTTAGGTGAGTGTACTTTCTTAATTACTTACTTAACTCATACACTGGCCTGAAACATCCAGTGTGTGCTATGCTGTGATCTACTTTGAGACTTATTTTATTTTCCAGTGGAGCTGAAATGAATGACACTGAGCTTGCACTTATCCAGCAATGACATGCTTAATACTGTATCTTCATTGATAATCAATTATCAGGTGCGTTTGAGAGGACTGCGGCTGACTTTCGCCTACTTGATAGTCAAACATGAGCTGCAGGGGCGGGGAATAAAAACACTGCTGTCAAGTTAGACACATTCTACCTCCCGTAGAGCATGTGAGCTTAGAACAATGATTGATCTGAGATCACTTTAAGTCATCATGCTCAGTAGTGGCGCAGTGTAGCACAAAGTCACACGCACCTGTTGTAGACTTTCCACACTGACTAGAACCATCTAGTGTCAGTACTTGACTGATTACTATTCTCCAATATGCAACTTGTCCTCCAAGCGAAATACCAAAACAGGCCATATATAATTTCCTTTTTTGAGATTTCCATATCTTTTGAGATGATAAAGCACGTCTTGGTGCTGTATAAATACTGTGAAAGTATCAAAACGCTCAGTCCATGAAGAAATGCACACATACCTATTTAGAAACTGTGCATTAAACGAGCCGTCAGGATGTTAATGTTGTAATGTAATGTCCCCACCCTCAGCCATGTCCCCCGCACGGCCCACCCGGACCCACTGTCCAATCTTTTTTTTAAATGTTGTTTTAACTTTATGTTGAGCTAGATCTTGAGGTTGTTGAGTGTGTCTCGCAGAAAGTGCTTTTTCGGTTGTGAAGTAAAGCACTCCCTGTCCGGGCAGAGTTGGCTAACTGAGCTGACTAGCTAATGGCAGCTATAGTTAATGGCCAAAGTAACAGCTAACAGAAAGTAAAGCTAGGTTATCTGTCCACCAGGACATTTTGAATCACCAAAAGTTGAGGCAGATTTGCCAAAGGACATCAGAAGGAAAACCAGAAAATGTTTTCTCCATATAATCTGATCCAGTTTCACCAAAACCAGTGAATAAAGTTAGAAGTTGTGTTTTTATAAGTGATTGCGATGGCTCCGTTTTTCAGTACTTTTGTATTTTAATTAAAAAATTAACGTCCAAACTTCTTGATTTAAACTTATGTTATGTTGTTATTTATTTAAAAAATTGTACAATGGACTGGGTAAAAACAAATTAATAAGATTTATTGAAATAGATAAATAAATAAAGGTATTGTATTTTACAACTTAAAGTATAAAACAAACTACTCTAGCAATGAATATAATGAGGTCAGTCCTGCTAGTGTGTTTTTTTTTTTTTCCCTTTTTAAACACCAATCATGTCCCTAACTCATGAAGATATCTGTAATTTTACAGCATTCAGCGTCTGAGGGACAGTGGCTGCCCTTTGACAGACACAACCTTTACATACTCTTTTGACAAGAGAATTCGGTAACCAGCCCTTGTGGTTGTAGGGATGGCAGTGTTGGTCTTCCATGCTGAAATATCACAAGCATGGCTGTGATATTTATCCATCCCACAAAAAGTGTGGGATGGATAAATATCATCATATTTGTTGGTGTGTAACGACCATTACAGCTTTGCTAGCATTGCTGTAGATTTGTTTTCCTTTTAGTCATTGTCTCATCCCACTAAAAGATACAAAAACATCTTCTGTTTCAGATGTTTGGAGCGACTATTGCCAACACAGGTTCAGAGAGACACAGCAAATATGTTGAAAGCACTGAAGACATGACGGTAAGAGTTCAGCACAGCTTTATGCTGCCAATAACTCACCCTTACAGTGCATTATTCATGGCTGTCTGACAGTCCAGGGAGGATCTACAATGATGTCACACCATCCCGCCCCGATGGATGTGCAGCTGGACACTTTACTGCATCAAATCAAGTGTTCCAAAATGCTATGCTCTCAACAACATGGACCTTCTTTGAATTGCATTTATCTGATTGTCCAGTCTTTGCTTTTCACCTTGGCCACCAAGAACAATAGCAACACTGTTAAAGTGTTTCTACAGCAGTAGATACTGGCGTAATAACTTGTTCAGTTGTTACATTGTCCAGTTTTCACAAAGTCAGCAGGACATCACCGTAAACTCAGAATTTGCATTTATCTGTTTGAAGACGTTTGGATGCTTTGCACTGACTGAGCTGAGCCACGGGAGCAACACCAGAGCAATAAGGACCACAGCAACATATGACCCCTCCACCCAGGTCAGCACACACCCCACGACACTCCCATCACACAGAAAATCTGTTTTTAGGAATGATGAAAGGTAATTGTAAAAGAAGCAAAGATTAGAAAATATCAAAAAATGTTTAGGCTACTATATCATAACAAAGTTCTTGCACACCAGACAGTCCTATTGACAGGAAAGAACCGAAAAATCACTTGTACTGTCTTTTTTAACCCCATTTTAGTCCAGCTGATAAATTGAGAAACTGAGTAAAAACAGTGACTTTCCATTCTGTAGGAGTTTGTGATCAACTCTCCAGACTTTGAGGCTGCCAAGTTCTGGGTTGGGAACCTGGGTAAGACTGCAACCCACGCTGTGGTGTTCGCGCAGCTCTACACACCTGACCAGGTGTGCCACGGCTTGCATTCCTTCATTGTCCCGGTAAGACTTTTGACCTTTGACCCCTGACCAAGTTTGTTTATGTCACGGTTCCTCTCTCTCTCTCTCTCTCTCTCTCTCTCTCTCTCTCTCTCTCTCTCATATTCATATATATATATATATATATATATATATATATATATATATATATATATATATATATATATATATATATATATATATATATATATATATATATATATATATATATATATATATATAATCATTTTAAAAAGTAACTCTTTTGCTCGAGAAATGATACAGGTGAAATATAATTTTATGTGAAGTAGTGAAATGGAAGCCAAGGACACAGTTCAAGTGCTTTGACACTGAGCATCATGATTCACACATCCAGTGAATCTATAACCATTGTGCTGCAGGTGAGAGATCCCAAGACCTTGCTGGCTCTGCCTGGGGTTCTGGTTGGAGACATGGGCAAGAAGCTGGGCCAGAACGGACTGGATAATGGGTAGGTGGCAGCAGAGCAAGACTAAGATTGGAGGATCAGACTTAACGTGAAATGAGTTTGATTTAATTCCATGCAAGTTACCTAGTATGCATATTTATGTAGCTCAAGATTGGCGCTACATACCTATTATTCATTATACATACCCATGTATTTATAATTTAGAGCCCGACTGATATGGAGTTTTGGGGACTGATGCTGATATTAAAGTGAAAAAGAGCCGATTTATGAGCCGATATTTTGATTTTGAAAATGATTTGGATAGTAGACCCGTGTGTGGGTCGTGTAGTAAAAGTGTAGCATAGTGAAAACTGATATTGAAAGCTGTTCTATATGTGGGCTACAATACCTTTTCCTAAATGGATTATATTAATAAAATAGATTACAACAAGTGAACATGTAAAAAAAATTGCACATCAATAAATATTTGCTGCTGGAAGGTGCAACTTTTTCAGCCATCTGTCAACAACATCTGTGAGAATAAGAATTTGTATTTTACCTTACACATAATCTGCTGTAATGGCTAATTTCAGCATGTTCACATCCCCTGGTGGGGATGTTGATGGGAACATGCTGGTGATCATTCACCAGCATGTCCCCTGGGGGAATGATCTGGGTGGATAATATGGCCAATAGCCAGGAGTATGCTGAGTAGTGGAATAGCCATTGATCTGACCTGGGTAGCACAGTCTTGGAAGTAGCAGAATGCTTTTATGAAACAGACACACCACATCCCTATAAATGTATGTCCTGCCTTTGTATTATACACATTTTGCCTGTCAAGTTGTGTCTATGTAATCAAAGTTAATTTTCTGTCTTGAGTCTTAAAGTTCCTCGTTCTTTGTCTTTTCCCATCAGCTTTGCTTTGTTTAATAATGTGAGGATCCCTCGGGAGAATCTACTGAATAAGACTGGAGATGTTTCTCCTGATGGCCACTACGTTACGCCATTCAAGGTTAGTAAGATTCCCACAGGTGCCAAAGAAAACAAGCACCAAGCACGAATTAAAGGGAAACTAAAGCTGCACTACTCAATATTTTCAGCTGATAAAATAATTATGTGCACTTTGAAAGGGGTCTCTTGGGATGAACTCCCAGCAAATTATCACCAACCCTGCAGTTCCCCTCAGTTCCCTTTTCACCCTTTTTTAGCTCATTGTTTTGGTTTTATGGCCCACAACTATACTGTTTTGGTCTCAGAGCTGTCATCAACCTGGTTAGGGTTAGGGCTGGAAAATTCCTCTGGTACCCCATGAGAGGTGTAAATAGCAAGGACAGGTCAGGGGCCTGAGAAGTGTGTTATCCAGCTGTCTTTGAGCTTCACTCAGGTTTGGTTTCACCAAGCTGTCTCACTTACACTCACCGGCCACTTTATTAGGAACACCTGTCCAATTGCTTATTAACACAAATAGCTTATCAGCCAATCACATGGCAGCAACTCAATGCATTTAGGCATGTAGACGTGGTTCAAGTTCAAAGAGAGCATCAGAATGGGGAAGAAAGGGGATTTAAGTGACTTTGAACGTGGCATGGTTGTTGGTGCCGGATCATGATTCAGACGGTAGGGTCAGAATTTGGCATAAACAATATGAAAGCATGGATCCATCCTGCTTTGAGTCAACGGTTCAGGGTGCTGGTGGTGTAATGGTGTGGCCACTTAGTACCAATTGAGCATTGTTTAAACGCGACAGTCTACCTGAGTTTTGTTGCTTACCATGTCCATCCCTTTCTGACCACAGTGTACCATCTTCTGATGGCTACTTGCAGCAGGATAATGCACCATGTTACAAATCTCAAATCATCTCAAACTGGTTTCTTGAACTCGTTTTTTTTTTTTCGTTTCTAAACGAATATCCGTTGGCCGCAAAGTACACGGACCGAGTTTACTATACTCAATATACTGTATCAGATCAAAACCTGTCAGCCCTACATCTGACCAGTCAGATCACTGGAAAAGTCACTATAACTACTGGATCCGGACATGGACATAATTACTTGTTACTTTTTTCAGAGCTCAGAACTTAAGAGCAATATTTCCATAGATTAGTCTGTTCCAGGCTTTCCATGTGTCCTCTCTGGATTTAAAACAAAACTTTTAACAGAGACAAAGTGGATCAAACTAAATAATGACAATCATGCTGCATTGTAACCGACCAGATTCTTCCTGAATGGATTTCTGACGGTGTTGGTGGTCAGTACATGTTCACATAGTCAAAATACTCACCCCATAATAAATACATACAGTATACTGTATATATTTAGTATAGCATGATTATGTGAGGGATTATAACCAACTTTGTGACGCCAGTTATCCAGGACAGTCAATGTTCCGCTCAGAGAAGCCAGCGAACCCAAGAGAGCCAGACTAAGTTGAGCTTATGACACAGGCACCAAACAAACAAACAAACTGCTTTACAGAGCGCGTTACGTCGCTATGTAATACATTCGAAGAAGAAAAAGAAGTGTGAAGAAGTGAAATTTGGACAAAGGGAGGACCACACGTATTATTTAGCACAAGAGCTGACAGAGCTTATTCAGTCATTCAGCTCACTTTCAGGAACTTCTTGTCACTTCAAATCTTCAAAAAATTTAAACATCTGTTCATGCATTTTACTGAAACTTGTCCTACTTTACCTGTGCCCAAATAGGCAAAAGGTGGGGCAGTACATGGCCAGCCTCTATAATATATGATAACCGATAGTTATAATAAACAAATGCATGCTAAACTTAATTTGAATTCCAAAAATATTTTCTTCCAAAACTCTTCTCTTCTTCTCCTTCAGGACCCCAACAAGCGTTTTGGGGCATCTCTGGGTTCCCTCTCAGGTGGAAGGGTGTCCATCACCAGGATGGCTTTGGTCAACCTGAAGCTGGCTCTGGTTGTGGCCATCCGCTTCTCAGCCACCAGGAGACAGTTTGGACCCAAAGACGCAGAGGAAATTCCCGTTTTAGAGTACCAGTTACAGGTCAGAATGGATTTGAAAATAAATGTACAATGTCAAACTGACAAACAAACTGTCTAACCCTCCAGAGCACCTTATCACCTCAAAGTTACAAAGATTATCTAAAGCCACATCACAACACTTATCATTTTGTTTTGTGTTTATGTATCTCTTTTTTGAGTGTGGATGTAAATGTTTACACAAATTCCTTTGATATATTGTATGTTGTTTCAGCAATGGCGTCTGATCCCATACCTGGCAGCAGCATATGCTCTTGAACACTTCACTAAATCCATCTTCATGAACTTTGTTGAGTTCCAGATTGGAGAGATGATGAGGGACACTGGTGAAAGACAAGTGAGTACAGCTGAGGTGCATGTGTGTGTCTACACTCGGAGTGAAAACACAGTAGTCAGTAGTCTTATGTGTATTTTGTGTGTGCAGGCAGAGATGGGCAGGGAGATCCATGCCATAGGCTGCTCTAGTAAACCACTGGGCTCGTGGACCGCTCAGAAGGGGATCCAGGAGTGCAGGGAGGCCTGTGGTGGTCATGGATACCTGGCCAGTCAGTCTCAAACATACAGATACAGATGTTTGTTCCTCTGTCCATGTGGGGACATCTCATTGACATAATGCATTCTCTTTCCCCTTAACCTTCACATGCCTAACCTTAACCCTTACCCTTACCCCAATTGGAACCTGAACCCTAAAACCAAGTCTTAACCCTCCAAGTCACCCTTTATATTTTCAGATGAACCTGATGTAACCTAAGCTGTGGCCCGTATGGAGACCTAACAATATTAACAGGTCACGCTGTATGTCAGCCTCTCCGCTCCACACTGCTTCAGTGAATACTTTATAAAAACTTAGCCCACAGTCAAAAACTTTCCCCTTCCATGTACATTACAATAAAAGATAAAAGTGTCTGCAAGCGCTCAAAAACCTTAGTGTGTTTCACCTCTGCTGCTACAACTCCATCCTTAAGGAAGCAGTCTATGGTAATATAAGTATGCAATGTGGCAACCACCTTTGAAACTGAAAACAGAAGTTTTCTTCTCAGAGTACACCAGAATGCTTTGTTTACGGGGGCAGACATGTCACATTTTTCATGCATTCTGAGTTAGCATGTATGTAGTGCCCCCACCGGGATATGAAAACGTGAAACACAAACTCTAAGACTTGACCATACGTGACTACCTTCATTTCCTCTCTTTCAGTGAACCGGCTGGGCGATCTGCGTAATGACAATGATCCAAACTGCACATATGAAGGAGACAACAACGTTTTGCTGCAACAGACCAGCAACTACCTGCTCAGCTGGCTCCACGCAAAACACCACTGTCAGTACCCTGCGCCTAAGCAAAATTTTATTGGTGTTCGTTATGGGGAGTGGTGGCAACAGATAGAAATGTAGTCCAACTCCAAAGTTGAGTTCTGCACATGGGTTGTGCTGAGTGCTGATCATATAGCTCACAACAGATAAGCTCCTGATTTCAGTGGGATTGCCTATTAGCCGATCCATGATAATCTTTCACGTCAAGATCAACTTGGGTGAACTTTGGAATGTGAATTGGCGCTGTTGACCAATGTCACACCATCATTATGGTGTTGACCTTTGATGGAAAGAGGAGAACGGAAGAAAAATGAAGGACACTATCATATTAGCTTTGTCACAACAAAAAACTGTTGAAGTAAACTGCTCCTGAAAAGAAAAATGTTTTGCAGACAGGAGTCTACGGTACACTATGTCTCTGGAATGAACAGTTTAAAGTAAATTTCCTGTTAGTGACAGAGCAAGCTGGCTTACTGTTACATTGTTTGTTTGTTTTTTGTTTATTTGTTCTTGTTGATACAGTATTGAGATTACCTGCTTTATTGTGTGCTTTCAGATGGTGCGCGGATTGAGTCTCCCCTTCACACTGTGGATTTCCTAGATGATTTACACAATATCCTGGAAAGCAAGTTTGCAGCAACAACGTTGGTCGAGTGTATGGACTCTGCAGGTATTTCAGTATTTAAACTCATCAGGATTGAATTCAGTCCATATGCTGTTTCCAAACTGTCCCTGATAGAACTAGAATTCAGAAAGATTATTCCCTTTAAAGATCTGACAGGAAGACATGTTCATTTTATAAATATAACCTTTTAAAGGAAATTAGGTAATTGGTAATATGTCATTAAAATGGTTGTTTGTAATTCAGACATCCAGTTTAGGTAAAGAGAGAGGACAGATTAGCAGGTCCGGGAGCTCAGAGGCAGTAGGTGGAGGTGGAAATGGTATTGAGGGAATTACTGGAGGGAATGCAGCCTCATGTCGACTCTAAATAAAGAATAGTGTCTGTAGTGATTACACAGTTGAACACAGACTCAACACCCTGTCCACTGTTAGCTGTTACAACGTAATCCAATATTGTGTTGAGTGGTAATTGTTTCTCTATTTTCTACTTTCTAAGAATTCATGTGCAATTACAGTCTTGAACTGGTGCAAAAGCCTAGTTAATTTACATTTTGTAATTTTCCCATGAAAACATTCACATTTAACCAGTTATCTAAATATTTGTGGTACAAAAATTCTTCTGACTGCTTTCTCAGTTTACCCTAGTGAGTAAACTCCTCCTTTATCATATCAGTGGCGCTGGCAGCGTATAAGTGGCTGGTGTGTTTCCTGCTGGAGGAGAGCCAGAAGTGCCTGGAACAGCAGAGGCTCTCTGGAAAGGATAAGTTTGAGGCCCATAACAACAGCCAGGTAAAACACACATACCCCCCCATAAGGAGGGCAAGTCCCACCAAACTGACTGTGTAAACAGATTTGTCTTCACAACATTAGTAATACCCACACACACCATTTACATTTACTCATTTGATCCTTTTATCCGAAGCAACTTACATTTGAGGAACAACATACAAGCATCAATACAGCACAAGATTTACAAGTAACAGTACACACTAGTACGAACAGCACTAAATACAAGTAAGAGCTAATAGCACAATGGGGTAAAAATAAAATGAATGTAAGATGCTTTTCAGATGAATGGCTAAATATCTTTAGTCAAACCAGTACTCTTCAGACCTTGACTCACTGGACAGATGAGATGAACCTTAACAGACATAAGCCCTGTGCTTGCATGGACCCATGGGCCTTGAGTTCACGTAGGTCTTTCGTCACTAGAAATATTCATGATTCACACAAGATTATGTTTCTAAGTCAAAAGCGTCACCTGTTTGGATTAGGTTATTTTATTCGGAAATTTAAATGGATTCATTTTCTACCTATTTCTGAGCACCCCTGTATCTTATCATAATCCATGTGTGTAAGTGGGATTGAAAAAAAACTAAATACTATAATAATAATAATAATAATAATAATAATATAATAATAATAATAATAATAATAATGTCCTAAAAATAATTATTTTAGTAGTGATTTGGACCAAACAATAATACTTTTAATATTGGAAGTATGTTTATTTGTCACATAGAACATACAAATATGTCTGACAGCCGATAGCACAAAGTGTATATTTATCTGTAGTGTAGTGAACTGTTGTTGAATGTGAAAATAAAATCACATGAGTACAGCGCTGACGGCCATCTCAGTGCTCACATACCTCACAAATGACAACTACAAGTGTAAAATAAGACTGACATACATACTATGTTCCTAAGTCCAAACATTTCCGTATATCAGAAGTTATTAAGTTCCAAAGTGAATACATGTGGGTTATTTTTGACCCATGTGTGCATAATCAATGTAGGAATGCAAAACAAAACATTACAAAACTAGAGATAGTACACACATAAGGATGACTTGCACACCAACTCTCACCCACACCCAAAACCCTCAGTTAATGCAAGGGAAAATAACAGGTTAAAACAATCGTATAACTTAAATTATACCAATATAATGAATAAGTGCCTGGAATATTAAATGATAAAATATGTTTATTTGAAAGATGTAGCAAATAAACACTTATAGCCATGCATAAAATTCATTTGAATAGTAGTAATTCAAAAAATGTTTATTCAGAAAGTAAGAAAGGAAAAAAGGTTTGATTTGTGAAAATCAAAAACAAGTTAATTAAGCAATACCTATAACACTGATTGATGAAATTAATTTATTGCAAAGATGTAGAAAATAAAAACTCAGTCGGGTCAGTTTTGCCCCCTGTTGTGCATCAAAGGGTTAAAGTCACATGCACTGAAATTGAGGGATCTGGTGTTTTAAGACAGAAGCACAAACAATGTACAAAGAAACAATGTTCTTCCTGGCAATGTACTAAATGTTCTTGGAATGGCGGAGAGGGGTAGCTTAAGAAGAACGTGTTTGCAACGATATTATCAAGTTGTGGGGTGATTTGGACTGAAGGAAGAAATCATTGATAAAAAGTTCATTGGTTTTCTTTTTTTCACATTCTTGGTTAGAAGTGTTGTAGTAGTGTTCAAAGAGTGCAGAATAGCTACAGTGGCTGACAACGGACAAAAGGAGTTATGGCAGCAGAGAGTAGCCAGTCAAGAAATGATACATTGTTGTTTTGTTCATTGGAAATGAATAGGGCAGAACAATGGCTTGAGTCACACAGTATTTAGTGGGTTGTTACCATAACTGTTTCTTATCCTAGCGGTGTGGTTGCGAATTGCAACTAACTGTCTAGTCTACCTTGTATCTGTGATTAACGTTATGGCCATTAATAAAATTCAGATTATTCGTTCAGATTATGGTGCTTTTGATAGCGGCAATAAATATAAATAAATAAAATACTTTGATAGCAGTGCTAAAATAGATCTCAATCATGGCAGCAACAGTTACTCACATAATCACGTCCTCTTTAGAGATTTTGACCACAAAACAACAGTGCTTTTTGCAGCGGTGCTTTATTTCGAGTTGAATTGAGAGCTTTTTTAAGGACATTAAAGAGTCTGTAGCTTTCTTGGCATACCTCTGAAATAGCAGTCAGAAAATGTAATTCCCCTAAATGAAATGAAATTAACGTCTGCAGGTGGAATGCACATAGTGCAGCACATGCTTTATTCTGAGCGTGTGAAAGAATCGCTTCATAAAGAATTAGTTGAAGAAGGGGGAAAAAATTCTCCCTGTGTTAATAGTGGCTTCATGTTGTAGCGCTTAGCTTTTTTTTTCTATAAGTTTATAGCAGAAGGGTAATATGTATGCTATAAATGGTGTGTGTGTGTGTGTAGGTTTATTTCTGCCGTTCCCTGGCCATTGCCTACATTGAACACAACTGCCTCCAAAGGTTCCATGAGCTGACTACAGATCAGGACACACCAGCTGGTCTCAGACCTGTACTAAGCAAGCTATGTTCCCTGTACGGGCTGTGGAGCCTCAGCAGCCACATGGCCACACTGTACCAGGGTATGTACTGGACTCTGAGTACTGCATCTAGATAACACATTACATGTATTGATATTTGTAACATACTTTTGTTCCTGTGCAGGCAGTTACTTCATAGGGGGAAAGCCTGCAAAGTTGGTCCAGATGGCCATTCTGACTCTCTGCTCCCAGGTACCGAAACACCTTTCTGTCTGTCTCACTCTTTGTCTGTTGACCTTGACCTCAACCTTCATTGGATATCTTTCAGTCACTCTCACTCCCAGAAGCCAGCCCTCCACCTTTGAAAAAGTCACACATATATTGTAGTTGTGTGACTCCTGTATGGCAGCATGTAAGCCTTCATTTCAGCCTCTGTTTGAAACAAGCTGTAGATGCTTCTGTCTCTTTAAGCCCCCCCCCCACCTCTTAAAGCCCACTGTCTTCTGATTGGCCAAGACATGAAGCATGTTACCAGGCTGTTTTTGTCGCTGAGCGGTACAAACAGACTGAGCGTAGCTGTGCGACACAATTGACCACATATGGAATACCGGCTCTGTCTAGCTCCATGTGTCCTATTACTGAGGCCTTAGCAGAAAAAGCTGCTTCCGTTCAGAACAGGAGGAAATCTGAGGTTTTGGCTCACAGGGATTTCATTCAAATACTTTAACCACATTATTTGAAGCTTTGGCCATATTTAACATGAACATCTGACATGTAACATTTTAGATAAGTCATAAAATGTGGAAAAGCATAATAGGTTTCCTTTAAGACATGACCTGAAAATAGCCTACATCTCAATTTATATAAAACTGAACTTACATAGAATATAGGTAGGAATGCAGATAACTAAAATGAGTTCCCTTCCATACCTCTTGTCTGTCTTCATGAAGATGAAGGATACTATTATGGCTGTGCTCCCCCACCTGCCCAACCTGATCTGCTCTCTCTGTCTCTCCTCCAGCTGAAGGATGATGCAGTAACACTGGTGGATGTTTTGGCCCCTCCTGACTTCATTCTCAACTCACCTATTGGCAGTGCTGATGGACAGGTAAAGAAATACATACACAGAAAGCTTAATTATACTTCAGCAGAAATTTTTTTGAGAGCATAAATAATGCAAAAACATAGTCAAACTTACCACAGACTGTATATAAAGATGATAACAAGATGCATCTCCATTTCCTCCTGCTGTACAAAAATGAAGCAAAAATATCCTGGATACGACCGCTGCCATCTCACACTGGTTATTTGGAGCCACAGTCTGCTCAGTAGTGATCGGGGTTGGAACCGTGGTGTACACCCAGCCGACTCAGTCATGAGCTGGGCTCAGCTGTCAATCATGTGTCAAATAACAAATTAATCAAATTACTCCTTAAAACCAAACTTATCAGAAAAACAAACCTCAGCATGATGAGAACTACCTAAAATAACAGAAACCATCTTTGAGAAAGAGTTTAGCCCATGTCCCATCCTCAGAATTTATGAGCTATACTGCAGCCACCCACCAGGGGACAGTCAAGATATTTTGACTTGGTAGTCAAACATGAGCTGGTAGTGACTGCAGGGGTAGGGTATAAAAACCATTTTGAGTGCTGTTGACAGGCGAGAGGATACACTTTGATGTGTGTCACAGCCATAACCTTCTGATGAGATGTGTTTATTATAACAATAAACAGAGAGTCCCAATGTAAGTTCACAGTGTTCTCCAAATCTTTGTCAACCAGCTCAATACTCAAAGAAAGTAGTAGTTATATTAGCCCAAGCTATGGCTGCAGTGGATTATACCACAGGATGCAAGGCAAACATTAGTTTCTTTAAGGACATTTTCAAATGGTACAAGATCAACAGCAAAACTCTTTATGTATCAGAAATCAGAAAACTAATCAGTTGACCATCTGCGCTATAAACTAAAATGACAGAGAGAAATCATCAGAGCACATTTAGCAAGTTGGCTTAAATGTGGGTATACATTAATGTGGAAATATATATAATAGCTCTACTACAAATCAGCACTGGACTACCACATGTATGCTGTCATATCTACTATTCAGTTTTGATATAGGTGGGTTCTTTAGCTCTAGTATCATCTTTTGGAATTACTATACCCTGCATAAAAGAAGTGGATGTAGTCACTGTGACACCACCCATTGGTTTGTGAAATTAACAGCTGATTCCTAATAAGCTTTTTCAACACTGCTGGTTAAATTTAAAGTGCTGTGCATACGAGTCGCCTCTATCCTGATCGACAGGCCGCCATGGTAGTGACTTGTCACTCGCAAGACAGCCCCACCCTAAAGCATCCTCTGCTTTCAGGTCTAATTTCCTCTAAATGGGACCATAATTTACTAAATGAGATAATAATTCGGATGAGAAGTAGCCAGTGGAGTCACCCCCTGCTGGCCGTTAGAGAGAATGCAGGTTTAAGGCACTTGCATGTTGGCATATTGTGGAACATCTAAGCGGCATAACTAAAAACGGCAGTTAGAAACTTGAAAGGAAAGAACAGAAGTTAAACTTTTATCTTCTGAAATAAACTTTTAAAGACAGCTCTGATGGAGATTGCAGAGCAGACTGTGTGTCCAGCGTTTATGCATGACATGAAATGTTAGGCTGATGGGTCCGCAAACACGTCTGGTGGAGATAATAGTTCACCAATCACCCATTCACAATCCAGTCAGTAGAATGATACATTAATTCCAGTCTGGGAGTGTGTATCAGGAGGACAGAATGATTGAGCGTTACTGTGGCCTTACATCAGGTAACCACTGATAGTTAATACTGAGTGTAACTTGTAAATAAAGTCTTGTTTGTTTTTATTGTGAATCATCAACTCTGCACACAAACCAACAAGCATCACAGAAATAAACCATAGAGTTGGTTTTGCCTCCCTCTCAGACACACTTAGTCAGGTTAAGTGTCGTCACTGGAACGAGACCTTTGGCTGCTGCCTCTCCTTCTTCCAGGAAAACACACACTACATTGTGTTTGGGAAGTCATAAGTTGATAGTTGTTGATAATGAACCTCTCTGCACTGTCTGAGAACTTCCTGTTTTACAAGCAGGGGCTCAGCTCATGTTTGTTTTTGCCTGAGACATCTTCCAGACCCACAGTGTGTTCTATTACTCTGTGTAAGCTTCAGGGTTTAGTTTTGCATCTAAATGGTTTCTGTAATATTTGGTAAATTTATAGTTTAAAAATGAAACCTGCTAATACCACTGGCTTCCATTCTGTCTCTACTGCATTCTTTTCTCCCATCTGGGTGTCTTAATTATGGATATGTCAGATATGAAGCATTAGAAGAAGGGCAGAAGACGAATGGGCAGATCTTTCTAGAAAATATTTTAACCAGTCAACACAAGGCTCAAGTTTGCTGTGTCTTCTGGAGACTTTTTTAATTCATTAATTAAAAAAATGTTAACATGTCATACATCCACCTGATACTGGCCTCACTTCTGATTTATGTCGGTTGGTCCTATATCCTGAGATCTTGAAAAACTTTAAGTTTCCACGAGAGGGGGAATCAAACAAATAGGATTCTGTACCATCAATAGTTTATAGACTGCTTCTTCTTTTATCTCTGTTGAAATTTATAAAGCAAGTGGTTCCAGTCTTGTAACAGAGAGATAGCACATCCTTCCCTTTAGGGTCTGAAATTATCACCCGCCAAATTTGGGTAAACTGAATTCGTTGGGCCATCCGGCAGGAAAAACACACAGCAGAAAGACACATGTAGTCAGGTTAGCATATTGTGGCAATCAGTGCAGCAGTCAGCTCAGGGAATATCTGTGGTGCTGTTTCAACCAAAGAGGCCCAGTCTGTCTCGAGTGACAGCGCCGGGCCTACGGGAGGTGCTCCGGTATGGTCGGAGAATCAGTAATCAGTTTTGTTTTTGTTGGCCAGTATTTTCTGTTTGCTTGCTGGGATCCAGAAGACAAGGTTTTTTATTGAGAGATGGTCTCTTTGAACTGAGAAAAGGACTCATTCATTGATGGTTGAACTGTGGGTTTTGTTTTGAGCACTGACTGTATAACACACTGTGGTGATGCAATTTCTGGTCGTCTGTAGGTACCTTGTTTGAAACACCTGGTTGTTCAGTGAGATGGAGTCATTGTCATGTACTAGAGGACTTTTTTCTTTTAATATGCAAACATGCATTTTTCCATCAACACATAGCACTAACAAACCATACTTGATAAGGATGCTTGTACACACACGATGTTTATGTATGATGGATTAATGTGTGGAGGAATGGCTTACAAGAAACGGAAGAGAGGAAATGGATCTGAACCTCTTTCTCCCCAGTGAACAGGGACTCATCTCCTTGTTTCTCCTTCATGCAGATTTACAAGAACCTGTGGTCGGCCGTGATGCAGGGCAACCAGGTGCTGGAACGGCCATCCTGGTGGAAAGAGTTCTCCTCAGACAAGCCTATGGTCGGATCCCTCCGTCCAAAACTCTAGAACCCAGACACACTCTGGACATGTGTGTGCCTTTAAAAAAGTCCAACTGCGTAATTACAAATGTAATGTCCATATGTACACTGCTGTTTGCCAAAGACCACATTGACATACAATGCTGCACCTGTCAGTTAAGGTACAAAATGTTTACATGAGTACCCTGTGTAATATATAGGGAATAGTAAATGAGTCATTTTGAAAAATTCAGAAATCCTACAATTCTTAGAATCCTCCAAATCATGTACACTTGAGTCTGGATGACCTGGATGACCTGAATTACGTGTCAAGTCTTCACTTTTGAAAACAAAATCAGTCCCCAGGAGGGAGACATTTTCTGTTTTGTATTTTGAGGTTTCAATCTAAATCTTTAACAATCTTATCATTCCATTTTAAACTGCGGTAACAAAAAGTAGTAATGCTGTGTCACTGTTCCATCATTGGCTGACAGCTGACATTATCTGACCAAAGAACGGCTCAGACTCGACACAAAAACTTACACAGACTTTAGACCACAACTCACATTAAACTCATCTCTCTTGAATGAACTACTAAACAAACCTCAGCTGGGGAAAAGTGTACTGTGAACAGTTTGCAGCTGAAGCTGACGAGCGAATTGTTACTTATGTAACATTTGGTTGTTTTTTTTGGGCCAGTGGTCATCTAGATGCTGTTCCTGTGAGCTTGGTTACAAGTGCAAGCTTGTTTACATGGTCCTTCTATGTCCCCTGACGTCTCAGCTGTCAATCAAAGATGTACAGTAGCATGCCCACTCAGAGGCTTGGAGACTGAAGGAGCATCTCTGATACACCTTCAAATACCCTTATTCTTCCTTTCAAAAGTACATTAAAGTAAAAGAATATTAATAATTCATTTGAAAATCATTTAACATTTTTTGTCACACAAGTGATAACTTTTGTTATTTCTGTTGGACATAATCTTTTTTCAGTATTTCACCACACTTCAGTGGTTACATAATTGATTTTAAAATGATATATTGATTAAAACATTTGTATGATTGTACAAAAAAATGTGAGGAACACCAAAGTCACACATGCTTTCAGCTCTAATAAAAAATAGTGTGTTGGTGTGTGTGTGAGTGAGAGAGTGAGGGACTTTGGTGTTACAGTGGGGGAACTTTGTGTTTCAGACACAGATTTCTGGTTTCTTTATCATATTGTCTGAAATATAACACCCTTATGTGCTCACATTTTTTCAACATCATTGTTACTCTTATTTGAGTCAATATAAATATATAAAGCAAAATATAGATTTAGACATAGTTGACTGATGTGAAATGTACTATATGGGATGGGAATATTTTAATGAATCTGTAAATTGTTTTACTGTAGATTACATACAATACCATATAACCCTGTAAAGAATGATCACAGTCCTTGTTATACAGTGTCTTGATGTATACATTCAAATTAAATACATTTACTAATACAACTTATTTTGTAAAAGGTTCTTTCAAGACCGATACATGATCTGTACAGGATTTGTTATGCTCCAGTGAATCCTGAAAAACTGACTTTAAAGGACCATACCAGAGATTTCAGCCCAGTAAATCCATGGGCGTAAATTTAATCTCACACTAGGGGGGTCCATCCATCGTCAACTGCTTATCCTGCATACAGGGTCGCAGGGGGCTGGAGCCAATCCCAGCTGCCATTGGGCGAAAGAAGGGGTACACTCTGGACAGGTCGCCAGTCCATCGCAGGGGGTGAAGGGGAGAGAGAGAGAGAGAGAGAGGGCAGGAGAGGAACAGAGAGAAAAAGAGAGGGATGGAAGGAGAGAGAGAGGGGAGGGAGGCAGCCTACACAATATCCACACAGAGGTACAGACAGTAAAGGTGATATGGGGAGAACATGCAAACTCTACACAGAAAGGCCGGGGCAGCTGGGGTTTGAACCCGACAGTGCTAACTATCACCGCGCCGCCCTAGGGGGGGACAATAAACATAAAATTTCTCAAGAGCAATTTTTGAAGGGGACACAAATAATACAGCCAAAATTGTACTTGTATAGATACATGTACACAGAGAGAAATCTTTCTACTATTTTCCTGGCCGACAACTCAAAGCAATAGTTGTTTATATATTAGAGCTGGGCGCGTTAACCCATTAATTAATTAACACTGACAGTTATTTTATCGCATGTTAACGCAGTTTTTATTTTATTATTAGTTTGAAAGTCCCTTGCTCACTGGCTCTGAATACACATACAGTCAAACCCTGGGTCACAGGAGGGGCGGGATGTTGATCAGCCTGGAAATCACCCACCCAAACAAGCAGTGGAGGGAGGCTTCAGCAGACTACGCTGTCATCTTTTTTCCATATTTTTCCACCCGCGATCCGTTATCATGGCAGCAGGTGAGCCGCTTGCATGTTAATGACCCCAGATAGCAAGACTACATTGAATAAATATTGAAATGATATTAAAAAGTCATTGAATTATAGTTGACCGGGAAATATGATTGAAAAGTCATTGAATTATAGTTGACTGGGAAATTACATGATATTGAAAAGTCATTGAATTATAGCTGACCGGGAAATATGATTGAAAAGTCACTGAATTATAGTTGACCGGGAAATATGATTGAAAAGTCATTTAAGTATAGTTGACCGGGAAATATGATTGAGAAATCATTGAATTATAGCTGACCGGGAAATATGATTGAAAAGTCACTGAATTATAGTTGACCGGGAAATATGATTGAAAAGTCATTTAAGTATAGTTGACCGGGAAATATGATAGAGAAATCATTGAATTATAGCTGACCGGGAAATATGATTGAAAAGTCATTTAATTATAGTTGACCGGGAAATTGCATGATATTGAAAAGTCATTGAATTATAGCTGACCGGGAAATATGATTGAAAAGTCATTTAATTATAGTTGACCGGGAAATTACATGATATTGAAAAGTCATTGAATTATAGCTGACCGGGAAATATGATTGAAAAGTCATTGAATTATAGTTGACCGGGAAATATGATTGAAAAGTCATTGATTCATAGTTGACTGGGAAATTACATGATATTGAAAAGTCATTGAATTATGGCTGACCGGGAAATATGATTGAAAAGTCACTGAATTATAGTTGACCGGGAAATATGATTGAAAAGTCATTTAAGTATAGTTGACCGGGAAATATGATTGAGAAATCATTGAATTATAGCTGACCGGGAAATATGATTGAAAAGTCATTTAATTATAGTTGACCGGGAAATTGCATGATATTGAAAAGTCATTGAATTATAGCTGACCGGGAAATATGATTGAAAAGTCATTTAATTATAGTTGACCGGGAAATTACATGATATTGAAAAGTCATTGAATTATAGCTGACCGGGAAATATGATTGAAAAGTCATTTAATTATAGTTGACCGGGAAATATGATTGAAAAGTCATTTAAGTATAGTTGACCGGGAAATATGATTGAGAAATTATTGAATTATAGTTGACCGGGAAATATGATTGAAAAGTCATTGATATATAGTTGACTGGGAAATTACATGATATTGAAAAGTCATTGAATTATAGCTGACCGGGAAATATGATTGAAAAGTCATTGAATTATAGTTGACCGGGAAATATGATTGAAAAGTCATTTAAGTATAGTTGACCGGGAAATATGATTGAGAAATCATTGAATTATAGCTGACCGGGAAATATGATTGAAAAGTCATTGAATTATAGTTGACCGGGAAATATGATTGAAAAGTCATTTAAGTATAGTTGACCGGGAAATATGATTGAGAAATCATTGAATTATAGCTGACCGGGAAATATGATTGAAAAGTCATTGATTCATAGTTGACTGGGAAATTACATGATATTGAAAAGTCATTGAATTATGGCTGACCGGGAAATATGATTGAAAAGTCACTGAATTATAGTTGACCGGGAAATATGATTGAAAAGTCATTTAAGTATAGTTGACCGGGAAATATGATTGAGAAATCATTGAATTATAGCTGACCGGGAAATATGATTGAAAAGTCATTTAATTATAGTTGACCGGGAAATTGCATGATATTGAAAAGTCATTGAATTATAGCTGACCGGGAAATATGATTGAAAAGTCATTTAATTATAGTTGACCGGGAAATTACATGATATTGAAAAGTCATTGAATTATAGCTGACCGGGAAATATGATTGAAAAGTCATTTAATTATAGTTGACCGGGAAATATGATTGAAAAGTCATTTAAGTATAGTTGACCGGGAAATATGATTGAGAAATTATTGAATTATAGTTGACCGGGAAATATGATTGAAAAGTCATTGATATATAGTTGACTGGGAAATTACATGATATTGAAAAGTCATTGAATTATAGCTGACCGGGAAATATGATTGAAAAGTCATTGAATTATAGTTGACCGGGAAATATGATTGAAAAGTCATTTAAGTATAGTTGACCGGGAAATATGATTGAGAAATCATTGAATTATAGCTGACCGGGAAATATGATTGAAAAGTCATTGATTTATAGTTGACTGGGAAATTACATGATATTGAAAAGTCATTGAATTATAGCTGACCGGGAAATATGACTGAAAAGTCATCTATTTATAGTTGACCGGGAAATATGATTGAAAAGTCATTGAATTATAGTTGACCGGGAAACATGATTAAAAAAATCATCTATTTATAGTTGACCGGGAAATATGATTGAAAAGTCAATGCAGTATTGTTGACCGGGAGACTATCGCTTGGTGGATCAACGTTCCTGAACCCCACACATCTCACAAGTCCAGATCAGGTAAGCAAATATTTATTTATCTAATGTTTAATTGTACCAAATTTGTAGACATTTATCGTTTATTGACATTGTCTAACATTATATGCAGTCATAGACTATATACAAGTGTTTCAATACCATTTTATACTGACAAATAGCACTATATATATATATATATATATATATATATATATATATATAGTTAGGCTATCATTTCAACGTTGTTTCAATGGTAATATTGGTTGAAATAACATAGAAGTCACATTGATTTTTAGTTAGCTATGATTTCAACATTTCAATATTAAAAAAGGGTGCAAAATGATGATGAATCAACGCCAGAGTCTGATGTTGATTCAATGAAATTAGCGTTGAGAGCCGAATGCTGATTCAACATAGTTTCAACGTTGTTTCAATAGTAATATTGGTTGAAATACCATTGAAGTCAAATTGATTGCTAGTCAGGCTATCATTTCAACGTTGTTTCAATGTTTCAATAGTAAAATTGGTTGAAACAACATTGAAGTCACAGAGATGGTGCAAAATGATGATAAATTAAATGCAATTCAATTAAATTAAGTGATGAGAGCAGAATGCTGATTCAACATAGTTTCAATAATGTTTGCTATCTGCGCAGCCTATCAAACAACTCAAACAACCCAAACCAACATCTGCACCGTGTTCAATTGCACTTGCATTATTCACTTTTATGCACAACAATGCGATTAATCGCAAGAAAATTATGAGATTAATCGTGATTAGAAATTTTAATCGTTGCCCAGCACTATTATATATATATTAGATATTTAAGGGCAGCAGGCCAAATGATCTGCCTCTGCAACGGTATAACTACAGTATCAGCCTAATATTTGTTCACACACAGGATTAAGAGATGCACAGATTACATTTTTCCTGGCTGATTCCAGTTACTGAATTTTTGAAAGGTCTGACCTGCCGATTCAAATTTTGGCCGATTTCTTACTAAGATCTATAACACAAACATTTTTGTAACTATTATTGGAAAAATCAATTTTTATTAGGATACCCATCAGCACCAGTATAGAAAATGTTAGCTATTCTCATTGGTCTCAATTGTATGGTCATAATGAAATATTGATTATAAAAAAACATTAGCATTTTCACTGGAAGGAGCTGAAAATAATTGCACACCATTTTAATTTTAATTCTCCAATTTATTTTTGCATTGAATCACAAACTACAGTAATCTGCTCACCTTGCTTTTCCCGTCAGACACACAAGCACACCTGTCTGTCTCCCTTTGCTCTGACTTTATTTGTCAGCAGTTTTATTTAAAAGAACTCATGTTTGGTTTTCACAGAAGCAGATGAGCCGCGTGTAGTGTTCATTTGACCTAATCTTGTATGTGACTCAGGAGGAACAGGTTGTCTCAGTGATTAATTCGTTCATTTTCACGCATGCGTGAATAGTCTTGGACTCTTATGTTCACTCGTTACACAGCAGCTGCAAGGTCTCTGTCAGGACAGGAAACAGAATTGATTAGTTCACGACTCTCAACTGTGGTTCTCTGGGTTTGAGTAGTTCATTTTTCACGTGACATCTCGGCTACTGTGGAGCAGGAATGAACTAATCGTTCAGCGCTCACATGGGTCCTCCTCAGTCTGTCTTCACTCAGCAGGCTGACTTACTGCCAGCACCGGGGAATGAGAGGCAAGTCTGTTG